GGGGGGGGGGTTTGTCCATACCTATTGGGGGGCGGAGGTCTGCTCACAGTCAGAAACATTGAGAGTCGAGGATTATGGAGACTGTTGAGGTACTTTGGGTCACAAGTTTACTCTTTGATCGAGGCGGTTGATGAAATGTCATGCTTGAGCTACTTCTCTCGAGATTGAAACAATGTTTTGATCCCGGCTTGCCCAGTTGGCAGGCTTACGCAGGACCATTGGTAGAATCATCCACAGAGCCGATTGCGAACATGTCAAATGAAAATGTTGTGTGTTCTGTTCAAATGTGGCCGTCACTTCTTCCAGAACTCCTTCTCGTACCACGCCTGACTGTAGTTTCTCTCCTCGTCGAGCCAGCCCTCAGCCTCCTTCCACGAGTCCGTGATCAGCTTGGCCCGTTTCTCGTCTCGCGGGACGCACTTGGACTTGTACGGCATCGGCCCCGCAACCAGACCGGTGGTCATGGCGTCGTTTTCAATGACCTCGTCGCCCACCCTTTCAATGTCGAAAGCCCACAGCATGCGCGCAATCACCATGAATAGACTGCGGTCGGCAACCTGCATGCCGGGACAGATGCGGCGACCAGAGCCGAATGTGAAATGGTCGCGCAGCGCAGGGTCCGCCTGGGCGGCCGACTCTTGTGAGAGCATCCCGTCGTCAATGTATCGCAGTGGATCGAACTTGCGTGGGTTCGGGTAGCGGACGGGGTCATTGTTGATGCCCCATATCTGGAAAGGGAGTGAACTGGTTAGTAAAGAACAACTTTGTCGACCAGGGTTCGATGCGGCCTACGTTTTGAACCACGGATGCTCCTTTGGGGATCTTATACCCCATGTACTCGTCGTCCTTGGCTGCCGCGTGTGGAATTCCCAGGACGGCAGTTGGACACCCTAGACCGCGGTGGAAGTCGGTAGTCAGCGTCCTGTGTCTGCAATTCTTTTCTTCAGACTCAGAGATTCTTACACCTCAAGCTTTCCTTGACAATAGCCCTGACATACGGTAGTTGATTTCGGTCCTCCCATTCCGGCATCCTGTCAGCACCGACCACCCGGTCCAGCTCCTGATGAGCCTGTTGCTGTACCTCCGGATACAAGATCATGGCTTTGACGAAGCCGTGCAGCGTGTTGAACGTCGTGTCCGAGGCTCCCGCCCACGCATGGCCTGCGTTGAACGCCATCTCCATCTCGTTAAGCCCGTCCTTGTCCTGGTTGGTGAGCATGTCGCCCGCGAAGCACGGGTTCAGCTTTCCTCGCTCAACCTTGGACTTGGCTTCACGTAGGAGGTCGAGCCAAAGATCTCGTTCCATGATGGTGAGTCGGGAAAGTTCTTTGTTCAGCTTGTTCAACGAGTTGGGCGTGTATTTCACGATCGGCCGAAGCATAGGGAAGAACTCGGTAACTTGAGTCGCAATGCCCACGAGAGTGTAGGACTCGATCCATTCGAAAAGGCGTGTCACATAGTGATTGTCGGCCCGATTGACTCGCCAGCCGTAGGTGATGGTGGATCCAGTGCTGGTGGTGTAGCGTTTGAGCGCATCAAAAGAGTCGTACGGAGCGTTCAATAAGTCCCAGAGCAACTGGATTGACTCGAATCGCTTCGAATGTGTGAGTCCCGACCCGCACAATATGAAGAACCGAGAGAGCGTACCTGATAGGGCAAGTATCGAGTCGCTGCCGTGCTCGTTAGAGCTGTGTGGTACATCTTTCGCTGACGACGCCACACATCATCGTTGCTACCAGGATCTGTTATCTGACAAGCCTTGCCACAAGGAAGAACTTGTGAACTTACTCTCGATTCGAGATCATCAGGTTGTACCCAAAGTTGCGCAAGTAATTGTCCACGCGGTTCGAATAGATGCTGCTCCGTTTGTCGTAGAGATCTTTGACCGTCGTGTACGAGTTGATAACAATCATGTCCATGGCGCCCAGCTTCAATCCCATGATAGGGCCATCTGATGGGTGTTAGCAGCTGTTCCTAGGAGATGGAGAAATTCCTACATTGCTCCGACATTTTTGCCAGGCCTTCATGCAGCTTCTTCCTCGGCATTTGGAAGAGGTTCCCAAAGACGGGGATCGTCGATGGCCCTGAAGCATTGTCTCAGCATGACATCGAAAGCATCAACCATCAAAGGGAGGAAGGACCTGGAGGGTAATCCTTGGGCCTCATGCCAAGTTTTCGAAACCTGATGATCAGGGCCGCCAAAACGGCGACCACAGCTATCACGGCATACATGATGATGGAGGCCGTGTAGCCAAAATCTCTTCCCGGCTTGCAGACGTGAGGGGAGCAACAGCGATGGCCAGATTGTAGTTGCAGACTCTCTCCCAACCTCCGGGGCCTCACATTATCAGGTGCCCTATCAAGGATGTTGATTTTATCATTTATCTGCCATTTAGGGATTCCGGCCTTCCGAGATCGACAAAATGGGCCACGGGAGATATCTGACCTCAGAGTGTGATGTATTACCGCACATAAAGGCGACTCCTGGGGTGTGACGTGGAGCAGCTCTGTCCGGAGCATATGGTGTGCAGGTCCGAGGATCTGGAGGAGGGCGGGATCGGCCAGCCCTGCTTGCCTGTTACCTGCGTTCTCCACCTCATTGCTGAAGAGGAGCGGAATCGGTGATAGCCTCTTCCCCTAAGTGATCCGACGTCGAAATTGGTCATATTGTTGTCACGTTGTCCAGTTTAACCCTCAGCTGTCTGTTTGGTCCGTCTACATAATAAGCATTGACATATACCATCATAGGAGTAACTAGATAGTCGTCTCGTCCAGTATGGTCTTGGGGGATTTCAGTCTCGATGGGAAACTTGCCGTGATAACGGGCGCGGGCTCAGGTAATCTCCCTTCTCGTTTGTGCAGCGTAAGAATGAGACATTGGAAAATTTGACAGATCTGGATCTGTAGGGATCAACCTCGAGTTTGCGAAACTCTGCCAGAAAAGCGGCTGTCGAGTGTTGGCAGCAGATATTCGATCTACACCGGAACTGGAGGAATGGTTACAAGAGGTGAAAGGAGCAGAATGCAAAGTCGTCTATCAGGAGACAGATGTAGCACAATGGGATCAGCTGAAAGCCTTGGCCAGAGTGTCAGAACAGGCATTTGGCGAGATTCCTGACGTGTAAGTATTACGTGGTCCGTGTTGAGGTATGGTGAGTTTGGGAACTGACTCGAGTCCCGTCTTGCAGATTCGTTGCTGGTGCTGGAATATTCGAAGCAGTGAGTAACCATTTCTTGCCACATGATATGATGCTATAGTACCCAGACTGACACATCAACAGAGAGGGCCGTCTAATTTCTGGGAGGACCTCGAAGACGACAGATACCGCTTGCTCGACATCAACGTCGGGCACGCCATCCAATTCACCCGCATCGGGATCCGCGAGCTTCTTCGGCACAAGAAGAAGGGCGTCATCATGATCGTGGGCTCGCTAGCGGGATATACGCCCAACTTCACCGCTCCGCTATATGTGGCTTCAAAGCACGCCGTCACCGGCTTCACGCGGTCAATGGCAGACTTGGACGAGATTGCCGATATCAAAGTGGTCGCGTGTGCTCCAGGGTAAGAGACCCTGCTTTCTGGACCACACATACAGACAGTCAGCTTTTATCATTGAAAACCATCTCACTGATGCATTTCATGCAGTATGGTATATACGAGGATATGGACCGACGCGCCCCGAGCCATGCAGGAATATGGCATCACAAAAGACGTCTGCGCTCTGCCGGACGAGATTGCCCTCGGAATGAAATCCTTGGTGGAATCAAGCCAGTGGCCAGCGGGGACTGTCTTGGAGGTTGTCAAGGGACAGCAATGGAGGAATGTTCCTGCTTTTAACGCTGAGCCGCCTGCCGGAGCTGGTACTAAGCCAGAGCAGAACGACGTAGAGAGACGCATCCTGGCTCTGTTGGAGAAAGAAAAGGTCGAATGAAGACGACCATAATAGCACACAATCGTTTCTTTGATATCTTCGCAGTACACCAGAAGCCATTTCGGATTCATCAAATGGACAACTAAACTCTGGGACAGGAAGGAAGTAGATAGAAGTATGCTAATGAGGCTATCATGTGCTTTATCCAGGCCAGGGTCCGCTCAATGCCCCTCGATGGGCGTAGGTGGCGGGGGAACAGGTATCGAATCCAGCCCTCGAGGACCGATGTTTGGTCTCTTCTTCAACTCCCGACCATCATGACCGGCTTGCAATTTTTTGATGATATCCTCTGGATCGAAGTCGACCCCGACTGGGTTCTCGCCAAACTCGGGAGACGCCATGAACGCGTTTGCATCCTCCATCGTGTCGAAATTGTCGACCTGGGTCTCGATCTGATTCCCGTCTGGATCCTGGTAGTAGATGCTGGTTGTGGGACCGTGGTTGACACTCCATATGGGTAGAATTCCTTTGGCCTTTCGCTGCCTATATGCCAGCAGTAACTCTTCGAGGGTTGCAAAAGAGAAGGCGATATGCTCCAGGCCGGCCGAGGTCTTGATCTTGTCCGAGGTACCTGGAACGGCTCCAATCGCGATCCGATGGTGCTCATCGTCGTACGTGAGGAAGGAGATGAAGTCGTTTTCGTGCGTAGCTTCCGCGCCTAGAAAGGTCTTGTAGAAATCTACCATCTCCCTGAAGCGTGGCGTGCGTAAGACGACATGGGCTAGTTTCTGTGGAGAGGTGACTTTTTGAAACGGGCGATCAAAGTCCACGGCCATCTTGAGCGACGTTGAAGGGGTGTCTTCGAGATGTTTGTGATAGACTGTCCCTGATAACTTGATTCACTTTGTATATCGTGTTTCTTCTTGCTTGGACAGTATTCGAAGGCCGGAAGAAGATAGCTGACGACCGATTAACCATGGGTATGTATGATGCATTCGTCATATGGGGACTCTGGCTTCAAACGTGGTGGGTGCTGGTCATTGACGCCGGCCGCTGTGTTTAGTCTTGCTCCGGCTTCCGTTGGGAGGTTTTCCACAGAATTGCAGGGTCCGAACCAATAGAACTAGGGACAGATCCATTGGGACGTTTAGATTTATTGAAGTCCAACCTGATATATCGAGCCGGTCAAATTTCAGACAGTATTCAACATATAATTCGACAACTGATACTATACTTCTTTGAGCCTGTCATCACAGGGCGTGTCTAAACCATGTCGTGGCTCACTGAGGTGCGGACAACGAGCTTGACTTCCGGCCACCACTGACACAATAGTAGGACGATCTCGCGACTAGTAATGCCGATTTGTTGAAGAAGCTGTCGTACCCACCAAGCAAGGTAGGTTGCGTCTTCCCAGCGGACGAACGACATTGTCATTGAATCGAAACGCTGTACAGGACCACGATCCGAAACTTGCAAAGGTCGAAGATGAGATCCTCGAACACTGGAAGGACTTTTCCCATTTCTGCAACTATGTGGCGGACAAAGACCCAGACGCGGGAAAACGCTTCTACGACCTGGACGAGGCCAACTATTTTGATCTTATGGGGGCGGTCACTCGGCCAGGCTTCCGCCCTCACTACGACCGCATCACTCCGTACCTGGCCCGGGCGAACTTGCGCATTAAAGATCTGGAAATCATCGCCATCACGCCCGAGTGCGGCTACGCTACGGCTCATCAGAACTACTACGGCACTGCGGCCGATGGTGAGCCATTCAACTTGACGTACCGAACGACATCGGTCATGCGCAAGGTCGACGGCGTCTGGAAATATGTACACGAGCATTATTCGTTCCCGACTAACATGGCCACTGGGAAGTCAGACTTTACCAGCGGACTGCGGGTCCAGGAGAATATGAGCTTAAAGGAGGGCGAGACTGTTTAGAAGAAGTAGTTATGGGGAGAAATAGAAATGAAGAGAGAGATGGGAAAAGGGAGAAATGATTTCACACATCAAATCTCCCGTGCCTCTCGCTGTATTCCGTTGATCTTACTACTTGATACCTTTCCCTAGTGGCAATCACATGCATGATATACCAGGGTAGCTACAGGGTATATCTCGGCGTGAACTTGTCACAGAAACCAACCGGGGTGTGTTCAAGTTTCTCCGGTTCTGTATGACAGGCCGTCGACCCAATGTGGCATATGCTCCGACACCCTATGTTGCGGGATCGTTGAGCGGTAAGTCGCACGAGAACTCATAGTTAAACTTACTGGACAAGAATCTCTTCTTTTTACCATACACCGCAGAAAACCTGACAAATACCTACCATTAGCAGTGACTTGTCTTGCTAGGAGAGCTCGTTATTCGACCTCTACGTCTTCTTGTCCGTAAATATGTCGGGTTTCGCAGCCTTACAACCCGCATTTACGGCGCAGGCAGGTGTTTCTCTATCCAGTCAAAGTCCCAAAAGCATTGACAGTTTTGATATCGCAGATTACATTCGATGCACCGGTAGTCATTGGTATGCGTCGAGCCTTGGGATGCATCCATCCGCAGCGGTTGACCAGTGGTGACAGGCAAAATCAACAGCGGCAGCCAGCTATATATTGCGGTAGGTAGACCCAGAATGCCACCGGCCCAGTCTCTCACTCGGAGAAGGATAGCATCCGGAAAAGGGTAACCCGAGTTTGATTATACTGATTGCTGACTGCCGAATATAGCTCATCAACGCGGGCACATTGAAGAGCGAGCCAGGCTTTGAGCCTGCCGTGGATGCTCAAGTGCTGTTCGGCACCGACCACTTCAAAGTCACCGAGGACATGAAGTATGTCACAATCGACGTCAAGGCCGCTTTGAAGTAAGTATAAGCATGTTTCAAATCATTGAGATTTCCAATCGTTAATTTACGGCGTGACAGAAATGAAGATGGCACAGTGCGTTTTCTCTCGTTCGTTATTTTGTTTCGATCCAAATAACACCGAGCTATATAGACCATCTCCTATGCCTACACAGGCCACATCGAAATAACTCCTGCTTTCGGTCTTATCTTGGCAGGCAGCCCGGACGCAAAGACGACGGACTTTGGGCACGTGTGTGAGTACCCTCCGAAACAGATCGGGGCTGGATAAGAGACCGTTTCGCTAATATTATGTATCTCTTTCCAGTCACACATATTACATTCGAGGTCAGTTGTCCCTCACACATGACATATGGCATGACCCCTCAGACTGACTTGATGCTGGAGACTGGTGCACCCAATTTCAAAAGTCTCGAGACCGGCCGGTTCGTTGGGGCCAGTCGGTTTATTGTGAATGGCGAAGGGAAGGGACCCGTCATTGAGACGAAGATCAGTAAGATCGTCAAGGGATAAAGACTGGAAAGACAGATAGCACCTGCAGACAGGAAAGGTCTTTTTGAGTCTCGAACTATTCAATGAGCCCTCCCTAGCTATGAAGCTGAGTCAAACACCATCTTGTTCCGGATCTTCCCTATCTCAGAGATCTCAACCTCCACCACGTCCCCATTCTGCAGCCATGCCGGTGGCTTCATGAACGCCGCCACTCCGCTCGGCGTCCCTGTCAAGACCACCGTGCCGGGTTCGATCGTCCTGCCACGCGTCAAGTGCCGGACGATAGCAGGAATGTCGAAGATCAGATCGTCCGTCTTTGTGATCTGGCGCTGCTGGCCATTCACGATGGTCTTCATCGTGAGTGTGGTCGGATCGGGGATCTGTGCTGGCGACACCAGGATAGGTCCGATGGGCGCGAACTTGTCAAAGGCTTTGGCGTAGCCGTGCTGTCCGCCCGCCCGTACGGGGTCTTGCCAGTACCGCGACGACACGTCGTTACCGACCGTGTAGCCGAGCAAGTAGTCGGCGACGTTGTCTGACTCGGTCAGATCCTTGGCCTTCTTGCCGAAGATGATGGTCAATTCGCCCTGCAATAGGCAACAGACGAGTGAGCACGTTAGCAAGTGAACGATGATCATGGTGAAGAATGCGGCCGCCTACCTCGTAGTCCATGAATTGGGCCTCCTTGTGGATTGGGATGTCTTCGTATGGATCTGCCAATGCGGCTGGTCACACAGAGGCTAGGTTCAGCTGAGTTCTTTACGACAAGAGGAAAGTGTTTACTCACAAGACCCGGCCCCTTTGACGAAGATCATAGGGTAAGGCGGCAGGGGGATCTAGATGAGAGAGTTTAGGTAGGCTATTCCCATGTTTGAGGGCACTGGCTTTACCTTGGCTTCTTCCGCATGTTGACGATAGTTCAACCCAACGCCATAGACGATGGGTGTCGTCTCGATGGGCCTCAAGACTTTGGCAATCGTGGCGGTCGTCTCGGTGAGCTTGAAGTCGCTTTCCCAGGGCAATCCGCCGCTGTAAGTCGGGACAGAAAGCCCCGTCAAATCATCGGACCACCCGTGACTCGCAGGGACTTCTCCATAATGAACAGCCCGACTCGAGTCTTCGAATCGGACGAGGCGCTTGAATTTGTGAGCCGTCATATCTCCCAAGATGATATGTGCGTGAGCAAGCTCGTATGGCGAGAGGCGTCAAGAGTGGAAAGCGTCGACGTTTCGCTGCGGCCAAAAACTCCATCATTCCATTGCCGGATCCATTGTCGGTTAACTATCGTTGTACCTCGACTTCTCCCTCCAAGTCCGGGCCTCGGAAGCCGGGGAACTTCGCCAGATTCCGGAACCGCATTGATGCAGAAACTCGGAGAAAGCAAAAAAGGCTTAGTCAAAACGACCCAGATTATCTGATTGGCTCTATACATCACTTGGGAGCTCATTCGTGCATGGTGGGAAGCTCCATCGCACGAACAAGACCAAGCAAGCAGCACCGAACATCCTCGTACAATGTGATGCGTGCGTCTCTTTCACTTCTGGAACTCGCCCATCTTGTCCAGTTGATACTCACTGTCTTGACTCTTGACCTCTCCGACCAGGGTGAATTCTCTTGGTTGCTCCTTTCCCGGTTCGTTGTCCGCTTCCCCATCAACGCCAGTCTTCTGCTGAGCAATTGTGCTATTGGCCTCATTTAAATGGTGCCCAACTGCCACTTCCAGAACATGAAACGCTGTGGACCGATGAGAAATGGCATTGGCCCTCCAACTTACATGACCATCGGGTCGGACAAGCACCAGATTCCGCTCCCATAACGCACGGGCGTGTTCTTCGTTCTTGAAGATAACATGTTCAAAGGGGATTCCCATCGTCTTGGCCGCCTCGTCAAAGTACTCTGCATGTCCAGCTGTGTCGGTGTCTCCGGATATGAAGTGGACCAGCGTAAAGTACTTGCCCAATAAGTCGAAGATGGCGGTCTTGCCGTCCTTGAGAAAGACATGCGGTGGCCGACTCCCCGGCCAGGTCGTAGGGACATACTCGTGCGCCGTCCAATTGGGTTCTTTCGTCGTTGTGTCGGGGATCGTGATTGTAGACTTGTACCGGTAGCCCATCTCGATGCCACGGTCCGTGTTCTCGCCATCGTTAGCCTGGTAATGCTGGTGGATTTCTTGCCGCAGCTGGCGCCCTTTGTCAGTGTCAGCATCGAGCTCGTGGGCGAACCCCTTCAGAATGTTGGGTACGGCGCCATGCACCGCCATGTGTACCCCTGACCGCTCCACGTTGGTCAGAGCGACCGGTCGACGCTCCTCTTGGTAGGACTGTAGGACTCCCTTGCCTGCCCACCCTTGTAACACCGCCGCCAGCTTCCAGCCAATATCATACGCGTCTCCTAGGCCCATGTTCATACCGTATCCGCCGGTGGGAATGTTTTGATGAGCAGAGTCGCCCGCTAGATAGATCCATCCTTGGGGACTGGAATACTGGCGAGCGACTGCCACGCTAGGTCTGTAGGTCGAACGTACTAATACCTGGTCGATCTTCACTTCGTATGGCTGGTACATTCCCCCTAGTACACGATAGACTGCTTCTTCGGTGCCAATGGCGGACTCGTCGGCGTCCATCGGTAAGAAAAGATGCGTGGTGAAGGTATCCTGTTAGGATATGTTAGTAGCTACTCTGGTGGTACAAAGGTAACCTAGCAGCTCGCCTTTTCGTCCTGAGAGATCGTAGCTCCACCCATGACGTGCTCGCCAGCCATGAATAGATGCCAGAACCGGCCTTGCTTGTGAAGCCTTGCGAGGTCGTTGGACTTGAAGTGTACTAGCAGCACAAATCCAGGCCTGGTGATGAAGAAGTACCGTTAGTGCCAATAACGCCTGGCGCTTCAGCAATTGACTTACACCGGGCCACCGTCAAGTGATATATTCAAGTTTCGGCGCACTCGACTGGAAGCCCCGTCGCATCCAACGGCGTATCTGGACCTGAACCTCACTGTTTTGGACGAGTTGAGGTCAGTCACGGTCGCTTCGACGCCTTCTCCTGTCTCCTGAGTGGTCTCGAGCTTCCAGCCAAAGCGCAAGTCGATCAAATCGTTGGCTTCTGACAGTTGTTTTAGCCACGCCTCGAATATTTCTTGCGAGATGCGTTGCCACGGCTCTCGAGGCATCGTGCCATCATTTCTTTCGGCAATCATCTGCCGGTATTCGTCGACACTAGGGTGATTCCACTGCGTGATGGCTGAATCTTGGCTCAGCCCACTGGATATGAGTACCGTATAGGGGATGTGAGAAGGGACACCTTGACACTGTTCAGCAGGTAGACACAGATAGTACGCTTTTGCTAATCACCTCGCTCCCGGAGGCCTTCAGCAAGACCCAGCTTTCGGAAGAATTCCATGGATCGAATATTGGTGAGGTCCATCTTGGGCCATCTTTTAAACTCGTCAGTACGAGGGTTCTGCTAATAAAAATGCTGACCATGCCGACTCCCTTACCGAGTGGTGGTGAAGTTGCGTTCGAGCACAACAGATCTGATCCCGTAGAAAGCCAGGACGGTCGCAGTCATCATTCCCACTGGACCGCCTCCAATGATCAATACGGTGTCTTCCGCGAGCACCTCTTCGAGCTCCTGTTCTTTGACAGGACCTGTGTCAGGTGCTACATCTGAACCCCCTGCCCCAGAATTTGGTGTGACTTTTTCATCCATATTCTTCGTAATTTCCCGACTCAGATCTTATTGCTTCCTGCCTCTTTTAGCTCGCTGGTACTTTGCTATTGACAATAACCAGATTTCCCCTTCTAATCGTCTTTCACAAGACCATCTACAGCGACAGTACCTATACGTTCAAAAGAAGCTTCAATAGGAGTCGTGACGAGTCAGCTGCTGGACTAGTCTTAATCTTCAGCCCCGACAAGATCTACCGTCATACCCACCTGAAGACAGAGGAGAGGAAGCGACAATGCTAGCCGGGTGGTCGGCAGAATTTCCTCCGAGCAATGACGGTCCGCCTCCTGTTCGTACCACCGGGCCCACCGTTACAGGACGAGATCCACGGACCGTGGTCAGGCTTCATATGCTATCTTTTGAGATACTTGATCTGGATAAGCTCAAGCGGGACCACCTCGGTATTGTCGTAGTGTACACTCGCTACTACACCTGTTTCAGCATATTTAGGAACAGAAGTATGTCGTCTGCCCATGCAGCTTGGGTGAAAGCATTCAGCAAGCAGGAGTGGGACATAAAATCGTTTCGCACAGTCTAGGTGCTGGCTTCCTGAGTCCTGACCTCAGATCGAATCCTCTACAACAGAGCCCCCTTCTCCTTCTCGGTGACCTGCAAGATTGACCCAATGACGCGTTGAATGGCATCCTCTGGCGTGGCCGACCCCTCGGCCGTCTCCCCTTCGACACCGCCTGGCGGGGAAATATTCCATTCAGGAATAACCCGCGTACCGAGCATCGAGACTTCCACAATCGTCCCTCCAGGATACTTGGCGGATTCCACCGTGTCAAGGACGACCTTGGCCACCTGATCTGCGGTGATGCTGACCTGGTCGGTAATGCCGAAGCGCTCTCCGGACCCTGGGGTCCCGGTCGTCCAAATCGGAGTCGAGACGATTCTAGTTAGATCGGTAAGCGGACGGTCCGCAAAAGGGAAAAGATAATAAGGTATCAGGAGAGCGGAAGACCTACCCAGGACATATCGCCACCACTTTGACACCCTGTAGGGCTTCGGCATCTCCCAAGCTCCGTGTGAACCCGACCATCGCATGCTTTGTGGCCACGTAGATGGGAGCCGGATACTGCTTGATGTAGCCCGCCATGGACGCCAGAATGGCGACCACGCCACGCTTTGACTTGCCCAGGAGTGCGCGCATGGCAAGCCGAGTCAATTTGATCTGCCAGGTCAAATGTCGTCAACAGGGATCAGGAATAGAGCCTCCGCACAAACTTACCGGGTGATTCACGTTGATGTCGACGGCCTTGTAGCCATCCGCGTCCAACCCTTCCGGATCGTCCCAGAAGTTGGAGTACGGCTGTTCTCTCACTTGTGAGCAATTCAACGGCAACAATTGTCCAAAAGAGTACATATAGAGGGGACACATGTATATTTCTACGATTTACTCCACTGGAACGGATATGCGACTTACCGGTTCAAACACGCCTGCCGAAGCAATGTAAACGTCTGGGACATCCCCAAAATGCTTCTCGCTGGCATCAATCATGTGCTGCAGGTCTTTCCATTTAGTCACGTCGCACGTCTCAAACACGACGTTCTTGTTCGCCGTGGCCAGCTTCTCGCCCTCTGGTGTCAAGCGCAGGTCCGCGATGATGACGGCTTTCGCTCCCGCGTCTAGCGCAGTTTGGGCACAGAAGAGTCCGATACCTGCACTTGTGAGTAAATCAATCCATTCGGGCTTTCGTTTGCGGGTTTTGTCCAAGGGCGTCGTTGTAGAACTTTCCCCGTCCCAGGGAGGAAAGTAAGAATTCTGGGAAATGGAACCTACCGGAACCGCCGCCAGTAATCGCCACGATCTTATCTTTCACAGGAAACCCGTTCGCCATGTCGTTTCGTATCTCAGGATTATATGTTTTGGACAGCTTTGTTGGAAGCGACGGAATCGGTAGAGGGACAGGCTTACATACGCCCTGGCGGTGTGACGAGTGAACAATCTTCGACAGACGTGTAAAGTATATCCGTTTCGCGAGCCCCAAGCAGAATGATGTAACATGTAGCTAGAGAGATTTTTAGCTGGTGCAATCCATGCTACTTCTCACTTTGCTTGTCTGGGACATGGCGAAAGGACCTCCTTGATCTGCGGCGTGAGAAGCCTCCGACAGCCCGGGAGATGTGAGTCCGAGCTGGAACACGTTAGCCTCGTGAGGATTCGTCTGGCGCGTATCACTGCTGTTGCAAATCGCAAATCACGATGCGTGGATTTGCAGAGAGAGGTCTTGAGCAGTCCAATTTGCAGAGAATAAATGCTTTCATCCAATGTCTCTAGTATCCGTCTTAGAACATGCATTCGGTGGACCGGCGAGAGACAGAGAGAATAGGACGAAGATCATAGTATACGACATGCGAGTCCTAGATTGTCCTTGAATAACTATGGGTGCTATCTTTCTCTTAAAATGTTGTATACTTCACAGCCTTGCCTGCTTCCGCGTCCATTCAATGCCGTGACTTTCTGCCGACTTCCACGCGTTTTCGATGATTTTCGCCTTTTCGGGACTTCGAGGCTCAAACACCATCTTGAACGGTCTCGGTATGCACAAGAACCCGTCTTCAGCCGTCATGTCCGGCTCCTCCACGACTCCAGTAGCAGGGTTCTTGTATTTGTGCAGGTTGTACGCCCACACTGTCCGCGCCATGTTGATGAAGAGAGAGTTCTGGGCCACGTGTAGTCCAGTACATATCCGCCGTCCGGCCCCATAAGAGTAATGGTCTCGGTCGTTCGGGTTGGCGGCATTCACGGCTTCGGCGGTGGTGTAGGGATCGTTGAGAAAGCGTGTGGGATCATATGTGAAGGGGTTTTCACGCAACTTGGGGTCGAAATGAATGGCCCACCAGTTCAGCATGATCACCGAGCCCTTGGGGATGAAGTAGCTGCCAGGATCAAAAGTCAGCTCGACGTTGCTCCTTACGATTTCAGAGAGAAGAGGAGGAAATTTACTCACCCGTCGTACCAGTCGTCTTCCGTGGTTGCATGGGGCGTGCCAAACTTGGTGATGGGCACGAATCTCAGGATTTCCTTGGCCATGGCGCGGACATATGGCAAGTTTGGCTCATCTTCAAATGTGGGAAGGCGGTCAGGTCCAACCACACGATCCACCTCTTCTTGGGCAGCCTTGACCGTCTCAGGATACATGATACATGCTCGGAGCCAGGCGTTGATGACCGATGAAGTCGACTCGCTGCCCGCCTCGACTAGGGAGCCCGCAGCATATGCCGCTGTTAGCTCGTCAATGCCATTCTTGGCTGGATTTCCAAGATAGAAATCCTTGACAAAACAGTCGGGGGCGGTGCCCTCGTCGACCTGTTTGACCAAGTTGCGGTATAGGTCCAGGTAGACTTTGCTGTCATATTTGAACCACTCCCGTCCAATATTGTACCAGTTTTGCACCATCCATGACGGTAGGCAAGTTAGCGAAGGGAAGGCATCTACCAGCCAGGCCCCAGGGCTCGCCATAGCCACGAAGTGTTTGAGGACCGTGAAGATCTTCTCGATGTGAGGATCATCCCATGAAGCCACCCGCTGACCATATGTGATGGTCATGATCAGACTGGCGGCATAGCGGCGGTTGTCGTCGTAAAACTTTTGTGGATCCGTGTTGTGTAGATAATCGTATAGAACTTGCTTAGACTCAAAATCTTGCACTGGCCGATACGAGTTGCTCGCTGTCAGATTCAAGCAGGCGTGGCTGACCCTGCGGACGCTGCGCCACCGCTCACCGTAGTTCATGAAGAACGTTCGAGCTTTGCCGCTCACATTGTCAACCATGGGAGCATAAGGTCGACCCGAATACTTGTTCCCACGCTTGTCCATCAAATCCTTGACGACTCGAGGGCTATTGAGCCAGATGAAGTGCGTCCCACCAATCTTCGTGTACACCAGCTCTCCATACTTACGCGCCCAACCTCGCGAGATCTCAGGGACTTTGCTAGCGTCGACAAGCGATGGGAGACTCCCAATGATAGGATAGCCTCGGGGTCCAGGCGGCAGATGTTTGAGACGTGAATCATAGGTGACAGCGAAGTAGATGACATATCCGACCTAAGAGCCCTGTTAGAAAGCCCTTTCTTCAAAGGGAATTGGTCACTGACAAGGAGAATGGCGGCGAGTGCAAAGGTCGTGGGATAGGGCACATGAGCCGAAAAGTGGCTGGTCACATGCTCCGAGATCCCCATGGCTCGAGTGTCAATACAACCTGGTCGTCGGTGTGATGGGAGTAACGACTTCCAGCCTCATGGGAGAAACAACAAGGCCCAGTCCAGAAGTGCCAAATTTGTTTCTAATAGTTGACACAACCAATCCGACAAATCCGACTAGACGACAATCAAGCATGAACCTTTTTCTCCTCTATTCTGGGTTCCGGAGAGAATTAGGTCTGTTCGACTGAGCCTGGTGGCCAGGTAGGCTGCAGAAACGGTATCCAGGACACTAGCACGCCACAAGAGGCTCCGGGGGCCTATGGTCACGCTTGAATGGACCGGAGGAAGTGAGTCGATTACCTCCGATTGCTTCACTTGATATGGATGTGGGTCCTGCCGTCATTCCGAGCAAGGGAAAGCCACATCTATAGAGCACATGATCGGAGCCCGGCTGTTTTGGAGTATGTTGAAGGAATGACGGTCTGCAAGAGTCCTGGCTTTCGAATTGGTACACATCAATTTCCAGTATTATGAGACAAGTTAGTCCCAATCGCAGCTTCAAGCTGGCAGATCATCAGACTTTGATGGCGTCCCAAAACCATCCAGTGGCCCTCTGGGCCGTGGTGGCAGCCGCTGTTGCCTTCGTATGCTACAAAATTGCTCGATATGGAATGCGCCCCAAAGATTTCCCACCAGGCAGGTGGCACCAATCTTCCCTTGAATGAGACTTAGAGACGGTACTGACTGGTCGAAAAGGGCCTAGGACGTATCCAGTACTTGGGAATCTGCTTCAGATGCCGATGAAAAGCTTCCATCTCGAATTCCAAAAATGGGCTAACAAGTGTACATATATGACGACGTGGACTACCGATCCCTGCTAATTCCTATCAGATGGTCCCATTATGTCGCTGAAGCTGGGCGGTCAAGATATGATCCTCCTGAACAGCCCCGAAGTAGTCAAAGATCTCATCGAGAAGCGAAGCAACATCTATTCAGGTCGTCCAGATCTCTACATGCGCGAGTTCGGAGACGGCTTGAACATTGCTCTACGAGAGTGTGTGCACGCCCTCTCTTTTATCGTGGACAAAGGTCGCTAACCATGCCGCCCGTCCAGCAACGACGAGACATGGCGACGCCAACGCAAGATGTACCACGTCCGTCTCAATGTGAAGACAGCAAACAGCTATCTGCCCTATCAGGTACGAGCTGCAAAAGAACCAGTGACTGTGCGGAACATCGACTGAACGATCTGGCTAGATATTTGAGAGTATGCAGCTCATGCATGACATGGTAGAGCATCCCGACAACTGGGTAGGCAATCTACAGAGATATACAGCGAGCATCGCCTCCACCGTTCTGTACGGTTGGCGAACACCCAACGTGTATACAGGATATGTCAAGGGTCTTATCGAGGTAAGTCTTGTGTGTCCTCAGCTCCCCCTCTTCAGAGCGCCAACAGAGGTTTCTAGTGGATGGACCGAACGTCAGCAGCGATCAATCTGCAGCCGGTCGACTTTTTCCCCTTCCTTCGTCCATGGTACCGGGTGATGCCTGTCTGGATGAGCTCTTTCAAACGAGCGCTTTCCGATATTCAGAAACTGGAAGATCGGCTTTTCTACCAACTGCTCGAAGGAGCCAAGGAGAAGATCGCCCTCGGGAAGAAATATCCCAGTGATACACCCCTCTCTGACAACTATTTTGGCGGCCAACAGGCTAAACAAATCTGCAGGCTTCATTCGAGACATGCTCATTGACAAGGACGCCGATCGCCTCTCAGAGAGACAAATTGCCCATAACGCAGGGCATGGTTTTGGTGCAGCAACGTAAGCTCACATGCAGGAAGCATGGACTGACTTTCCACCAGATCTCTTCTGACATGACTCACAGAGACACGACTTGGAACACGTTGCTAGGATTCGTTAAAGCGATGATTCTTTTCCCCGACGTCCAGAAAAAGGCGCAGGAAGAGATCGACCAGGTCATCGGTGCCGATTGCATGCCTTCCTGGGAAGACCGGGAGCGTCTCCCTTATATTCGTGCCGTGGTGGAAGAGACGCTAAGATGTATGCTGGGCCCCCTTGATAGGTTGGACTCAATGCTCACCAAGACCTGCAGGGGCTCCGAGTCCGATCAGCGGCGCCGTGCCACGTTCGGTCGCCTGCGATGATGTCTACAACGGCATGAAAATCCCCAAAGGCGCCACTGTCATGATGAATGTGCGTTGTCATCAAATGCGTTGTCTTTACAGTGACTGACCAGGACAAGTAGATATGGACCTTGAACCACAACACATACGAAAACTCTCGCGCTTTTGATCCATCGCGTTTCAGTGCAGAGGCGACCCTGAACGAGAGCTACGGCATCAACGCCGACTCGCTCAACCGACCGCACTTTACCTTTGGTGCGGGACGGCGAGTATGTCCTGGATTCCACGTCGCGGAACGGGCCTTATTCCTGGCCATCTCGCGACTACTATGGGGCTTTGAATTTCACCGAAAAGTGGACGCGAACGGGAACCCTCTTCCTATCAACCGTGACGCCGTGACGCCAGGCTTCATCGTCAGGCCAGAAGCCTTTGAGTGCGTTCCTCCCCGAATCTGGAGTTGCTATCTTAGCTGACAATGTGCCAAAAACAGATGTGACATCCGACCGCGGGGACCGGAGCGCGTGGCCCTGATAAAGTCAACGTGGAAGGAGGCCCAGACAAGGCTGGACGCAGATGGCAATTTCAAGGAGGAGTTTTTCCAAAGCATGCTCTCCAAGAAAGAGCGCGGGTCATGAGGCGGGTAGGAGGCTCTACGAGTTATGAAACAGGGAAATATGTCGAAAAAAGGTAGTCTCTACTTGAGATCCCCGTTGCGTGTCTAACCCACGGGTGCAATATCGCAAGAGCATAGCAGGTTCGTGGTGGAGGAATTTCGCGTACTCAATCTACCAGATGGACAATCGTGGGCTTGAACAGCATTACTTTCAACCTCAATTATTTCATCCCAACGTAGCGTATAGCAGAAAGTACATTGATTTGGCGTCATAAACAGGCTAGGTCGACGTGTTAATTACAACCAGTTCATAACCGTCCCTCTCCTATTCGCTTAGAAAAATGAATACACGGGGCAACTACACATCAAACACAGGAGCTCTACCTGGGAATATTCTGGAACCACTGGCGCGGATCGGCAAAGTCAGCCAGACTACTCTGCCAATCTTCAAACCCGATCTCTGACATGTCCGAGGTGACAAACTAAACAAAGCACCGGTTAGTTAGGGTTACGGGTCAAGTCGACGCGCAGGGCAGAAGGGTGTACCTCGGGTAAAGGGAAGTCTGGACAAGGATCTGAGAATCTCGGCAGCATAACGTCGGCGGTATTGGGAGGTTGTTGATCCGCATGTTGACTGGTCGATTGCCTTCTGGCTCGCTTGACAACTTCCCTGGCATACACGACGCATTTGCGAGGGAACTTGAAAACTAATTCAGAGCCACTAGCGTATTCCATGTAGCCAAAGTGGCCGACGATAGCATCCATCAACGAAATGTCCGAATTGGCCGTGGGGAGGGTCGGGTGCTGGATGACGTGGAGGAACAAATTGATCAGGCCCACGAGTGGAAAGTAGAATGCCAGCCTACCCGACGGTTAGTTAGTTCGTTGACCGGGTGGATAGAGGGAAGCCGGAAGATACTGACCATACGGGCGAACCTGCGGAGACAGTCAAGCCTTGGGTGGCCATGATGATGTCTCTAGCAGCAGAGGCCACGATCTCGGTACTGCGCTGCCGCTGAGCGACCACGCGAGGACTCGAGCTGAGCGCCAATCCGGGTCGGCTCCACGGTTGACAAAAACCTGCATGCATCGCGATGAGCGACCCGCTGTAGATAAACCGGGTGAAGATGATGTGTTGAGGCTGGATGCCCAGTGGTAGATTATTCGCTCGGTAGGGCGGGCTGCTCCGGAAACATGGCGCCAAAGACTCGTACCAGGTGAGAAGCTCCTGATGGAGATCCTGAACCACCGTCAACGTTTCCTCAGGGCTCTGCTGCATGGCCTTGACGGTCAACAAGCGCTTCAAGATCAGCGACGAGATTTTGGCGTGGTTGACAGTGTTGCGGAAGAATTCGAGATTGAATTGATGACCGGGAAGTACGACAGTCGGAATGGGGCAGCTGATGTCGTCGTCGTCAATGGCCTGAGTAAGATTTAGCTCGACTTGTAAGCAGAGTAATGGGGAGAATGGTATTACGCTAGGTCGACCAGAGCGATATGCCAGGTGTTTGTCGTACATGTAGAGATTCCACCAGATGACGTTCCGAACTGCAACATCTTCCTCTCGGAGCTGCAGAGCCTTATTCGCCTGGAGATGCAATCCCTTGGACTGTGCCAGGCGGACCGCGTTCGAGAGGAGCATGTACTCCAAAGCCGGGCTTCCGAGTGCTTCAGCGAAGAAAGCCTATCAGGAAAAACAAGAGTCACAAACTTGGGAACACTAGAAAACATGTAGTGGACGGGATTGTTTTACCATGCTTAGTAGCGCCTGGATGGCGGTGATGCCACTGCGCCCATAGACGAGGTCCGTGTGCACCGACAGAGCGTTTTCAAAGTATCGCCACGCCTGCGTGCGGGCTTCGAAGAAGGCGGATGGGTAGGCGCCCTCGGACAGCGTGATCCTACAGCCCGCTGCGTAGACGGTGTTGCGGAGTGCGTACCAGGCAGCGTCCTGAGCAGGTCCAGAAGGAAGCTTACTTTCGTATTGGGCGCGAAGCTTCTGCTCGAATGCTTGACGATGGATGCATCCGAAAATGGCGTCAAGGCCCTGATCAAAGAATGCTGCACATCCATAGTCAACCTCACTTTCCATTATCATGTTGCTCCTAAGGGGACACTCACCTGTCGTCCATTTCCGTGCCGTCTGAAAGTCTGGTTCGGGCGTTCTTTCTGACTGCACGGCGCGCTCCAGCTTCTCGCTGCGCATCACGTCGGCCGTGAGTCGCAGGGCGAGAGTTCTGAAGTCCGGCGCGCCGATGTGGTGCGAAACCCAATCAACGGCTGGCTCTGAGCAGATTGAAAGATATGAGGAAGGACCTAGGGGTGGTCTGGTCAACAAAGTTCGTCTCACCGGACAGAGGTAGTAGCTAACCGTGGACTTCGCTCACATCCTGTTGCTCTCATTAGCAGGCACATTCTCAGCCGAAGTGGATCCGAGTATACATACCTCGATGCCTACATCAGCACACGACCCTGCGGAAGTTGTGGCAGGAGGGGACATGGGCTCTTGAACCGATGGATGACTCTCCTCCCCAGGCGCTATTTCTTTGGGACTGAGAGTTCTCCGGACAGAGTGTTCTGGCTCTCCGTAGGGTGGCGGCTGCGTTGCCTCTGACGGTGCTCGGAGGTTGGTAGATACACAGAGTGCAGAGGAGTAAGCGTCGTCGACAGTCGGCAAGACTGCATCAGCCCACGGCTCAAAGGCATTCGTATCCACCGGGGGCATATTCTCGGTGGGTTGCAAAGGGCCAGCCGATGATATAGAGCCTGCTCGAGGACTCTGGAACTGGGCCGCTGCAGCTCCGGCAGCAGGTGTAGAGGCAGCCACAAGGACGGTGTCTTCTTTATTCGCGTTCGAGATTTGAGGGCCAGGTGCTGACATCGCCACGGCGGCCTCAGGCTGGGGTGGGATTTGCGAGCTCTGGAGGAGTGCCTCTAGGCGCGCAAATCGTTCATCCAGCGCCCGATCCCGATCCTTACGCTTTCGTGTCCTCTGTTGAGCTGGGGGGAACCAGCACTCCTCGTTGTGATCCTGCGTCACAGTCACTCAGCTGGTTCTTCAAGACATTGCTCTGTCTCTATATATACCAAACAATTTCCACATGGTTTCACGCCGCTGCCTGTGAGAACGAGTGACCGAATCAGTACGCGAGCAACATGATTTTCGCGACGGAGATGGAAGCTCACATCTGGCCTTTTTGATGCGGCAGTGATTACAAGCAAGTGTGCACTTGGGAGTCTGTCTCGGTCCTGCCATCTGGAATCGTGGCGCGATGAGTTGCGATGGAAAATTGACGACGGGGATTTACGAGAGCAGTGACAATGATGAGACAGTGATGCTCCGCTCATACGAACGTAGTGTCGCCCAGCAAGAGAACTTTTTCCTGCGAATTATGGGATGGGGGATGGAGGGTTTTGTGGGGTTTGCGGGGTTGTCCAGGACGCCGTGTCCGGGGAGCATGACCCACTGTTTACACCTTCGATCTATGCCTCGCGTTGGATGGTGCATCGTGCTACGGTCACCCAGAGCCAATAGAGTCTTGATTGCGAGGGTTCCAGCTATTGAAAGGAGGATCGAGGTGTTGCTAATGCAGCTCGTCCGACTCGTGCATGTCCTCGTCGATCCTAGACCGAAAAGGTTCGCATTAAAATCAATGCCTTAGCCCGAAATGCCCACCAACACATCCCTGCAACGAACTTTGACCAAGATTTCACAAGGTACATCACCTCAATATCTAATCTTTGATAGCTCGAGGGTTTCGATCATGCATCTCCTCTTCCAGCTCAAGAGAATCACCTGCACAACATTGCGAACAGGATACTCTCTTTGAGACGTGCCCCTGACAGAATCACAGGTGACAGCGTTCTCCAACTTGGGACCATGCTTTCTGTGCCCAGTCCGGGCTCCGGAACAGACAACGAAACTTGGTTCCGGCTTCCGGACAAAAGGGGAAAAATTCCAGCTTCGCCGAGCCCCCCCGGGCTATAGGAAACACAGCCTCCGATTGGCTGAAATACTGCCGGCAAACTCTGTTTAAACACCTTCTGCCATTCTCGGATAACGGTGGGGATCGTGCAGTACTCAAGTACACAACTAAACAATGGACGAAGTATACATGGCATCGTGATAAGCCCGTTTCTCCAAGTGCCATTGGCAACCCATCATGATGTTACCACCAATCAGGGACCACGCAGTCTCGAACCAGCAGGGTCCAGTCAAGGGTAGGCACGGGAAAACTCGACATTATTGAGACGTCCCGTCGTCTCTCTGGCGCGCCTGACTACCCCAAGCCTTAATGAACTATCTTACAACTGCACGGTGCGGTACCGCCACAGATCAAACGGTCGACTCATAACCGTGTTCCTGTCGCTATCGATGCCGAATCTTCATGGCCCAGGGCTGAGCGGATCATGTCGGCGGCCTTGGTCAGGAGAACGGTCTCGACAGCTTGCGCGCGTTGTAACAGGTCGATTCGCCCCGTCATACCTTGTAACTGGTTGACTTCCTCACTGATGCCGTCCCGAGCGCTGCTGGTGAGAGCATCAATCATATTTTGAATGACCTTGGTGACGTACTGCACGCCTTCGAACCGAGTGTTCATCGCGTGAAGGAGCCGCATGAGGTTTCCGAATCGTCGAATGTCAATCGGCGTGTAGTCTGTAAGCTTGCTGTTCATGCGCATGAGATGGACTGCAACAGGCAGTATAAGCCAGGCAGGTCTAACTTCCCTGTCAGCGATGAGAAACGCAATTGTGATCATTGGCCCACACATACAGAACAAGGGGGATGTCCTCGGTCTTTGCAATCTTGAGGAGCTCGCCGGCCTGGATAGAAACAGCCTCGGAGACTTCCATCAAGCTGCTCAGGGCGTATTTGTGTAAGAGCCGCGAGATAGGTCTGCTGGTGTGCGAAGAGCGGATTAGGGATTCGTAAAGTGAGGCTTTGGTGGACCTTGAAAGATTGTCAGTCATCTTATCTGACCGCTGACCGGGATGTCGCTCGCCTACGTGAAGATGATTCGAGGAATCAAGAGGTGGACCTTGGACAAGCGCGACAGGCTGTCCTGGTCGATGGCAGACAGAGTGGTTTCATAGTATTCCGCCCACATCTGGAGATGGAATTCAAGATCCGTGACCTGCCTCATGTGCTCATTGTCCAGTTTCTGTCTCTCCCGTAGTGAGCTTGCACTGTCGAGGCGGCCGACGCTGCTCTGTAGAGCCAGTATCTCGCACATGATGTTTGACAGCATACATATGGCAACAAAGATCTGATCCACGTCCTCTTTTGGGTGGCATTTCGACTGAGGCAACGTCGGATTACGCTCGCAAGCCCAGAATTCGGGGAGTTTTCCCGGTGCAATCCTTCTCAACTTGTTGGGGCGGCAGAGTGCCAGAGCGAGAACCCGGTTTCGAACGACACAGCACCACCATGTACGAACGTCGTGACAATCGGTGCTACTGTATAGACGTCCCAGGATTGCATGACGGAAGGCCTCGTCGATCCAGAAGCTGTTCACTTCTCTGGAGCTGTTGTACGGGCTCCAGTGGCTCAGAAGCAGGGCTGTCTGTGTCAGCGCCACGTGGCCTTCTTTGGTGAGAGTTGCTGTCTGGTACAGACTGAGTGTATACTCGAACAAGACCTTTTGTGCTTGTGGTACCGTCCCTAGGCCCGAGTCTTGCCTCTCCTCGTCGCTCAGGTGCGGGAAAGTGACAAAAAGGACGGCTTGCAACACCAGCGACTTCAGGGAACTGTCGTCAGGAACGTTATATCTGGTCTGATACCACCGGTAAAACTCCGCTGCATTCATGGCGGGGCATAAGATATACACACTCGTCATGAACAGCTGAACCAACTTGTCTTGCAGTTCGAGGGACAAATACGGGGAATCAATCTGTCTGCTATGCCCCATTTTGCAAGCGGTTCCGACGTCTGGCGGCAATATCCACTCCTGAGGAGGTTTCTGATGTATTGGCGGCATAGAGTTCTGTTCGATCAAGCCAAGCGACTTTCCTACTACATCCATTCCGCCTGGCGATGGTTAGTTGTGCATGGACAACGAATCTGCACGAATCCAGGGCTCACATGAAGAGAGTAACATGCTTTCCACCTCACCGAACGAGCTCAACTGCGGTGCAGTGGGTGGGCTGGATTGCTCAGGTAGAAGTTGCTGATACTCGTAAGGATTAAAGGTGTCCATTGCCCATGAGGTGGGAGAAGTAGTGCCAGCATCGAGGTCCAGACTGATAAAATCCCAGATTGGATCTTCATTGGCGGCGGTTGGGTGCTCTGGGGTCAAGTCGCATGCGTGTTGAGACATTTTTCCCAGGCTTCAAAAGCCAAGTACGCCTTCGCGGCGACAAGCAAAGCCAGCGAAGGTCGCGCCGTTCTTGTTTCAGCGCCGTTCAAGCACCAACTTGAGCAGAGTGAATTTGCACTTAGGGGCGTCCTTTTATGTGTTTACCAGGACTGCAACGTGATTAATCGCCTTGATTGCAGTGTCATCGGCTATATCCGGAAGGATAACCGTAGACAAGGGACCTGAAAAATCGTTAGTCGACCGCTCTAGCCCTCATCTAAAAGTCTCTTACCCGTCGTCAATTCTTTTTTAATGCTGTCAGCCTGAACAACGAGCCACTGAATGATTGTTAAATCCCAACACTAACACTTGGCCAACAGATGCTGAAGGTAATGCCCATTGAATCCTTTCCAACAGTCTCGCACGAGACATCGCGGATATCGTCGGCCCGCGCAGACTTAGACGATTGCTCCCCAAATTGGCAAAGTGTTTCGGAACACCGGAGACCGGCAATCTGTCTCCGGCATTCCGAACGATGTGCCGAGACCCACCAGAGTCGCTGAGAATGGCTAGCTTGTCGCCAACACCAATGAGCAGTAGAGGTTGGCATTTCCTCGAAGTCTCATCAGCATCGATCGTAGTGGATAGCCACTGGTTGTTCGCACGCATCACCTATTCAAGCAGCACTGTATCTATATTCAACGATACCATAGCTGGCATTCATACCTTACCTATCAGTCGCATCTTTCTGCCACATCTTCCTTCTGCGAAATATGTCCGAGCGGCACGCTCCTCGGCTGGTCTGGACACCCCAGCGTCTGGGCTCGACGCAAACAGATCGCCTGCTTGATCTGGTCAACCACCGGCATAGCCTGAATTTACGGAAGTACAGCGAGTTGCACGCGTACTCGGTTAATCCTCGGACGGCATCCGATTTCTGGGTAGACTTGTTCATTTTCTTGAAGATCAAAGCAAACACTGAGCCATTGCTCGGATATGTGCGAGCGGTAAGTTGAGCAAAGATCGGTGCTCCTTGGCCTCGGGGTCGGGTAAGATGTCGCTGACTACGACTTGCTTTTTCAGGACGCTCAGAGCATGTTTCCTCCTCCCTCGTTTTTTCCTCAAATCAAACTGAACTTTGCCGAGAATCTCTTGACTGGCAAGTCGGAGAGTGAGATAGCAATTCACGCCTGCAATGAGGGCGGCGTCAATTTGCGTTCAATCACCTGGGGAGAGCTGATATCGCAAGTGCGGCAGGCTGCAGACGCCATGGTGTCATTTGGAATTGGGCAAGGAGATCGGGTCGCGGCTGTCATCTCGAACAGGCCTGAAACCATGGTCTTGTGTCTCGCGGCACTCTCACTCGGTGCTATTTGGTCTACTTCCTCCCCCGACATGGGCGAACACGGCATATTGGATCGGCTGTTCCAGATACGTCCGAAACTAGTCTTTGGAGAGACGGCGGTTCTCTACAATGGCCAGATGAGGGATCTCAGAACCAAGCATCGAAATTGTGCCGAACGGCTGGCAAAACATGCGGAATTTCAAGGATATTTCTTGCTCGAAACAGAAGGCTTTGGGTTCCAAGGACATGCTCAGAACGTGAAGATTGCTCCCTGGTCAAGTTTCATTGGTCAGAGCACGGGACGGGAACTGACATTTGCTCAACTGCCCTTTTCTCATCCTGGTTTCATCGTGTATTCGTCGGGTACAGTAAGGCTGACACCCGTCCATACCTCTTATCTGGTTAGAGGAGACTGATATTCCGTTGCAGACAGGGCCACCGAAGTGCATTGTACACAGTGCTGCTGTATGACTAATTACTCTCTGCTCACCATTGCTTGCACTGACTGACTGACTGCTGTAGGGGCTACTACTTCAAGTCAAAAAGGACAGCATATTAGGCTTCGATGTCCAAGATGGAGATGTGCTCCTCCAATATACTACAGTAAGTCGCTCCCTCCCCTTGAAACAAGGCAGTTTCCTGACAAAAGATATAGACTGGATGGATCATGTGGGCTATGGTCCTTTGCGGACTCGCCTACGGCGGACAAGTCGTGGTATACGATGGCTCGCCGCTCAAGCCGGACAAATTGGTCCTCCTTCGCCTCATCGAGAAACTCAGGTCTGCCTTTTAAGAGTCCAAGGTAGTGTACGAGTAGTTCCTGACTGGCTTCATAGGGTCACATTATTTGGAACGTCGGCACGCTTCCTATCTGATTTAAAGGCAACCAACACCTGCCCACGTGAGTTGAATGTAACAAATTGATGACGGAACAAAACTATGCTAAGCTATACTCATAGGGGACACCCTGAACCTATCTTCACTTCGGACGGTGACATCTACCGGCAGTACGCTGCCTGCCGATGTCTGTGAATGGTTCTACGACAAGGGCTTTCCCAAACACATTCACCTCGCATCGACCTGCGGAGGTACTGATCTTGCCTGTTCTTGTATGGTGACCTCTCCTTCTCTTTGCTGGGGCATCGACTGACTGTGATGCTAGTGGTGAGCGGCAACCCGACATTACCTGTTTACTCGGGTGAAATTCAATGCGAGAGTCTAGGGATGGCAGTCGACATAGCCGACGTAAGCAACGAGATGTTTGTCTCGGTCAAAACAAAAGGAGAACCAGGGGAGTTGGTGTGCACCATGCCGTTTCCAAGCCAACCTACAGTTTTCTGGGGCGAGGGCGGCGCCAAAAAGTATCAAGATTCGTACTTTAAGCGCTTCGGTAGGGGGGTATGGAACCAAGGAGACTTTGTGCAAATGAACGATGACACCGGAGGATACGTGATGTTGGGAAGATCGTGAGTTATCCCACTATTCCTCTGACCCCCTCCGTTCTTGGTTGACGTTTTTTCAAGTGATGGTGTGCTCAACCCTTCAGGGGTTCGATTTGGCTCGGCCGAGATCTACAACGTTGTCGAAAAGTTCCCCGACATCGAGGACAGTATCTGTGTCGGGCAGAGACGTACAACTGACAAAGATGAGAGCGTCGTCCTCTTCGTCAAGATGAAGGGCAACGCTGTCTTACAAGACGAGCTCAAGGAGAGGTTGCGGCAAGCCATCCGGTCGGCACATTCACCCAGACACGTTCCAAAGTATATCGTTCAAGCCCCAGAGATCCCTTACACCATCAATGGCAAAAAGATTGAGATTGCCGTGAAGCAAATCATCTCCGGGAAGCGGGTGACTCCTTCTGGAACGGTGGCCAACCCAGAGTGCTTCAAGTTCTACGAGAGATTCGTCCGCATCGAGGACATGGTTCAAAAGCACGACGGTGCAAAACCCAAGCTCTAAGCTCTAACCGGGCGAAGCGGAGACAGGGTGAGAAGATAGATCTATATTACCTGTGTCTTGCACCTGGTGTGGCGCAGTCGAGAGCCTCTTGGGAGTGAAGAGTTTGTACGGCAGAAAGTGGCATTAATTTTGTAATACGGCACATGGAAGCCACGAGGATGAGTGTCTGAACTCACCAATCGATCAATCTCAGCATACAAAGCACCTGATTGTAGCTCGCGGGCCCGCGCCCTGATCCCGCGGACAAACTAACCACCAGCGTAAAGTGGGACCGGAGGATCGTTTCCTCTTGTTCCGGCAAGGCTGGCCAGGAGACCCACCCGCTCTCGACTGAAACTCCACATTCGTTGTCAAATGTATTCAACACACAGACTCCGTTACAAGATATATCCCATTCCACCGTCTCTTTCGTCTCCTTGAGAAGCCCGCACAGAGTTCACCGACCCAGTCCTGTTTTCACTCCTGACTAACCCCCTGGAAGATCGGTGATTGGCCTTCAAGATGGCGAGTGTCACCAACGGACAAAAAGCCAAGGGCAAGCTTGATGGCACCAAGTTCATCATCATTGGCGCTGGTTTCGGCGGTCTTGCCTCGGCGATTGAGTTGAAGAAGCGCGGTGCAGAAGTGAAGGTGTTTGAATCGTACCCAGACATGAAGAAGCAAGGTCAGTTTCTCGGTGAATGCACTGACCATGGCGGGCTGAGTATCGCGCGCATCGTATAGGAGATGTCATCATGATCGGTTCCAATGCCACTTGCATCATAAAGCACTGGGGCTCGGTGCTCGACGAGCTTCTGCCCATCTCGTCCCAGCCTCCAGTCATGTACATCCAGGACAAAGCCGGAAAAGCGCTTCTCAACCAAAACTTGCCTGCCGAGTTCGGGGGACATCCCAATCTCTACACTAACCGAGGCCGGGCGCAGATGTTGATGTACGAATATGCAGTATCTCTGGGTGTCGACATCTCCTTTGGGACACCCGTCACCGAGGTATTCGAGGATGACAACTCGGCGGGCGTGGTGGCGGGCTCCAACCGATACACCGCCGACGCTGTCATCGCTGCTGACGGAGTTCACAGCAAGACTCGCAACTTTATCACCGGCCGGACGGAAAGACCGAAGAAAAGCGGCTTCGCCGTCTACCGCTCTTGGTTCCCACTGGGTAATCTGAAGAACGACCCAGTCACGGCGCCTATTGCCGAGTCACCGGACTCCTTGTTCAAAATCTGGATCGCAGAGGACACGCACGCGATCCTAACGACAAACGTCAAATTACAAGCAGCGACATGCTTCGTCACTCACAAGGTGAGATACTGCCGTCTCTGGCTCGGTGTCTCCAGTAAGACGTAGGCTAAATCTTTGACGTACTAGGACAAATCAGACATCAAAGAAGACTGGAATCTCCCCGGCGACAGGAAAGATATGGAAAAGTGTGTCGAGGGATGGGACCCGTTGTTGATCAAGATCATCCAGCAGATCCCGCCCGAGTGCCTGATCGACTTTAAGCTGCTCTGGCGAGATCCTGTCCGACAATGGGTCTCTCCCAAAGGCCGCATCTGTCTTGTCGGTGACGCGGCTCATCCTCACCTGGCCACTTCAGGCACGGGAGGAGCCCAAGCCATAGAAGACGGAGCAACACTGGGCGTGCTCCTCGAGAAGTTGGACGGGAAGGACATACCTCTCGCTTTCAAAGCGTACGAGAAACTCCGGTAAGATAGATGTCTCTTATCTTTTCACAGTGCAGGTGCAAGTGCAAGACCTAACCTTTTTCGGGGAAACATTAGATACGAACGAACCAGCCTGACACAGCGAATGGGCTGGGAAACACGACACGCATGGCACCAGACAGACTGGGAGTTGGTGGCCAAGAATCCCCAGGCCCTCTCGCTACCGCAACCCGAATGGCTGAACGGAGTCGACGCGGCCAAATACGCCGACGAGAGATTCGACGAGGTCATAGCACATCTTCAGTCCGGGGCGCCGTTTGTCTCCAAGAATATCCCCGAAGGCCACGTCCATGAGGACTGGACGATTGAGCAGATGTTGGCTTACGAGGGAAAGAAGGTCGACGAGAACTTTTACCAGACACGATGATATATGTTCACTAGAACAGGGGCGATTGAAGTGGTGAATCAGAGCATGCATGCCATGAGCATGAAACTGTTCTCAAAACAGAGACGTGATTGCCCCGTCTGATTACATCCAGCCCTTCCAATTCGGTTCAATGTGGTTCAAAGCACGTGTGCAGGCTGAAGCAGTAAAGTGAGCTCCAGTGTGTCCATGAGAAACCCTGCTTTTTATGTTCCTGCAACTACACTATTCATTCCCGATATGGATCCGGGTTTGCTTCTCCTGCCCAGGTCCTCGTTATCGTAATATCCGCATAGCATCACAGCAGCATACCTCAACGTGCGAATCAACATGGATACATGGAATCCAACCCACTCCCTGGAATCATGTATGACGGGAGATACCCCTTTGACGTTCCAATCACACCCAACCAGTTCAGCGGAAGATGATAGACCGCCAGCGTAGCAAAGGCACAGAAGCCAATGACGGCAAAGGTGCGCACGGCATCCTGCAGCGCGGGGGGCCATCTCTCATACCCCTTTTCCACCGGGGACAATCCATTTGGGTCCTTGAGAGCCAGAAGTCGCATTTGCGTGTAGAGGGAGCCGAGACTCGCGACGAGGATAGACTCGTAGATGGGGAACTGCTCTGTCTGGCCCGCCCAGAGGGTGAGCGGTGCATAGGTCTTGGGATAGCCGTAGCCGTGCGTGGTCCGGATGATGGTGTTCTCGACGACAAAGTCGAAGACGAACTCGCCCAGCCAGATGATGACCACGAGCGTCATGTTGGAGATGGACGGCCAGCGACGCTTGAGGGGTCTGATCGCCGCGCAGGCCACCAGGGCGACACCCGCGCAGAAGTAGACGTACATGGGCGGGCCCCAGAGGAGGCTCTCGGCGTAGTTGTGCGGGCCGCCCTCGCGGTGGAAGGGGAGGAAGCGCGTCCAGACACCCAGGTTGACGTTGTGCGCGTTCCACGAGAAGATGTACTGCTGGCAATTGAGGAAGCCGTCCGCGACCCACGCGACCATCCCGCCGATGACGAATTTGCCGTCGAGGGTCAAGCGACGTGTCCGAGTCCCGTCTGGTCCGGGACGAGCGGCCCGGAGGGGACTGAAGACGCAGAACCAGAAGAATCCGATGAGTACGGCGAGGCTCAATGCCTCAACCAGACGGAGACAGACGAGTCTCCATGTCGCGAGCTCGTCGTCGCCCGCGATCAAAGGTGCGGGTCGGAAGTCATCCGAGGCGAACCAGCGGATGAATGCTTGAACACCCATGATTGTCCATGCTAGGCCGAAGACAGCGAAGCCCGTGGCATAGCCGCCAGAGTCGGATAGTGTTTCAACCTCATGATCCTTGGATGTTGCCAGGAGCCGAGTCTCCTCCCCGGTGCCATAGTTCTGCTCAAGGTCGCCGTTGGAAGGCATGGTGAGATTGCTTCTGGAAGATGTCGAGATCTCGTCGGGTTCTAGGACACACAAATATCGTTGACTTCACAGTGACACCCGTACCCTGTCACGGACAAGTTCTCACAGGGTTTATATGCCACTCAATCTCGTCCCGTCTGGGGATCCGGGATCCGGGGAACGAATGGGAATCCAGTGGCGCTCAATTCCAAGCAGGCCAGGTCTGTCCGTTCCCCCGTCAAATCGGACTCTTTCTAGGGCTGTTTCCTGATTGTAAATCCACTTCGAGTCTTCTGGAGAAAGAGGGGACCCCAGTTTTGTGGAGACCTCGCTCCTAGAGCTATGCTAAATCGCTCGGGGATTCCTACAGGTACGGACGAATGTATCCTGTAAGTGGAAAATGGACAGACTATACAAGCTCTGGCACAAATGCGGCAGCCGGATAGCTATCAGCAACAGGTCATGGACATGTCTAATGGACTTGAAGGTGCAGTGAAAAGTCCGAGTAACTTTGTTTTGTTCTCTCCCTTTCTATATGGACAGACGCAGAGGTGTTAGTATTTTGCCTTTCTCCGCACATTGGGTACCAACAGCCTTGATCGGTCCTCAAAAAGACGACTCTGTTACTGTTCGGTATAGCAAGACGCCACATTCACTCTCTGGTCTTTCTTCCAATGAACCGGTGGAACGTCAGGGGCTTTGAAGCCAGGTTTCGCCTCGACGACCATGGGCACAGACTGAAGCAGCGTGACACCGAAAGCATGGTAGCCAGGTGGCATAGGCTCGCCCTCGACGTGTTTCGCATCGCTGGCAAAAGAAGCCTTGAGGTCTAGGACGGTGCGCGATGAAGGTCGTCCTTCGATAGTCAGGATCCATTCAGTCTCGGACTTGACGTGTGCTGGCTTCATGATCGGACTTTGATACCAGCCGATCAAGATACTGATGAAGGGCTTGTCATTCACGTATCCGATCGACTCGTAGGAAACGATTCCTGTCTGGCCTTTCTTGATGGTCATCGCGGGCCGCACAATATCTTCTGGCGCCGGGGCACATTTGCTCGTGGCTTCTATTCTGTCGATCTTGACGCCGAGCTCATAGGCAATGTGCTCGATCATCTGGAACCAAAAGTGTTTCTGGTACCAAATAGCAGAGCCATTCTCGTCCTGTGCCTTTTGTGGGTCACTCCCCAGACCAATCACCTGGAGATTACCGGTGTTGGTCTGATCTTCACAGTCAAAATACTCCTCAATCTTGATCCTTTGGACATCATTTGATAGGCCGGTCAGGAGTATAGCGAGGCGCTGTGTGATGAAGTCAGGATTGAGACCGCCACCGTAGAAAGTGGCCTGGCCTTTGAGAGCTGCTGCCTTGATCGTTTGCGCAAACTCTGACGACCGTGCGGGAAGGTAGCTGTACGGATGACAAGTGACCACGTTTTTTCCAGCCTCGAGAAGCTTCTTGAAGTCCTCCAATGTGTTGATGAATGGGGCGTCGAGCGCCGTATGGACAACCGCATCGCACGGTATGGCCAAAAACTTACCCAGATCGCGAGTGGCCTTCACTCCCAATTCCGCAATCCCAGCAAGGGTACCGATGTCGACTCCGTCTTTCTTTTCCTGGAAAACAAGAGCCCCTACGATCTGAAACTCGGGAAGCCTCGCTGCCTCTCGGATCACGACACATCCGACGTCCCCAGGGCCGAAAATGGCAATCTTGTAAGGATCAGATCGATTCGGCATGGTGGTGCTCTTAGGTGAATATACCTTATACACGTGTCGAAATTACTGTCGTGTGAGCCTCATGATATCAAGACCCCATAGGCACTATTAAGTTCTCTCGTTCCTTACCGGCCTGCATCGGGGATCAAGATTTCTGTGGTTGCAGAATCAATTTGTTTCCGGTGTCCGGAGGCAGAATTCCCCTTCCGGACCCTTTGCAGAATGAGCCCGATCTGGTGGACGTTCCAGGGTGTTCTCTATCCCATATTGTTTTGCATTCCCATTCAAAGCTTTGGTCTAGCGGTATAACAAAGCCGAAGATGCTTTGGGGATTTGAACTGGGCAGTGGTCAACAGTCGGGCGTAACATCGTTGATCCCGGCGCTCCTGTCTCGTGTGTCAAACATGCTTACAAGATACATCCTGTGGACCCTGTAATGATGTTCAACTTCCGGTCTGACACTCCTCTTACCTAGCGATCCGCGGGAGAGAAAAATCGAGGATCTATTCCTGATGCTCGGAGCTCTAAGTCTGGGCATTGTCCGAAGAGTCCTCTGCGCAGATTTGGATACTCAAGTCAATGATTGCAGACTCAGGCACGTATGTTCCGGCTGGGCGCGGAAAGCAGAGTGGAGAAGTAAAAGGTCAGACGGTCGTGATATTCAACAACGCTGCTGCATATTTTGGTCTGCGTCAACGACGAAACCGTGTTTAGCTGGGCCTGCTCGGTGCGTTCTCGCGTGGCGGGTTAGAGTGGCCTCGCTCCTTTTCCTGAACGAAAATAGTGGTGGGCGAAATATAGTTCGGCGATAACATAATATATGTATATATGCCAAATGCTTATCATCATCTTGTCTGTCTGTTTGTTTTTCTTTCTCTCTGTCTGTACCTGTTTTGCGCCACTGACCAACTTAGTATTCCTCGATTGAAACGCCCCAGGCTAACACCAAACTCCGTTACTGATGTACTTAATCAATGGAAGCCAGAAATCCAATGCTGAAAGCGACTGACTGGGATGCACAGACTCGGCCAAAAATCAATGTGTGCCAATGTCCGGATACGCCGGACTGCGTGGAGTGCTATTATGTAGCCCAGCACTAGCGCCCGTGCCTGCGCTCGTGGACGGCTTGGGAGGAGTTGTCGAGGATGCGTTGTCGCTGGACGGTGCAGGCCCGGTGCCGGTGAGCGTTGTCGCCGAGGCTGCTGCTGGGGGAGCTGTCGGCCCTGAGATTCCAGATAAGGGTAAAGGAGACACAGCGCCGACAATGGCAGAGCCGGCGCCCACGTCGGTGGCATAGCCCAGGCCTTCGATAGTGGCCATGCTGGGGTCCATGCCGAAATTGAGGTCGGCATTTAGGAAAGCATCGCCATCGAAGAGCGGGTCCTGGAAGATGGTGGGCATGCTGAGGTCGAAGAAGCCGTCGAACAGCTCGTCCAGATTCGTGAACTGCGGGTCGTAAATGCCCGGGCCAAACGAGGATGGTACATCGAGCGCAAACGCGTTTGCACCGGTAGAGGACATCCCACCAAGGGCATTGTGGTGCGGGTTGTTCAGGGCTGATGTCTGGAAGCGCGTGCTTTTGTTGTAGTTCTGGTACTGGAACGCGGACATGGGTGGGATTTGGCTGAATCCCGAGGCGTAGCTGTGGTTGAATTGCTGCGACAGGGACGTTTTGGGGGATGTGGTGGTCAAGAGCGATGCGGGCGTGACGTTGGGCATGGCCCTAGCAACAGGAGTATTCCCAAGATTCTTGCTATGGCTCTTGTTGCTGACGCTATTGTCGCCGCTTCTGGCCGAGGATGGCGACGCTAGGGTCGGGGCTGTTCCGTTTGAATGGGTTGCTGCTGCATCGGAGAGGACATGTAATCCGTTTCCTCCGGGGCCTCCGCCAGAAGACAGGGATTTCGTCATCGCCGGGGTTGTAGTCGCAGACCCTCTGAGCGTCGCAGCGGGCGTGGATGAACTGTGAGAATGGTGTCCTCCACGATGAGCCTTGCCCTCAAACGGCCCAAACTTGCACGCAGCGACCTCTGCTTCCATTGCGTTGACGATTCCAGTCACGTCAGCTTTCCTCACCCCTGTTTGTTTCAGAGACTTCAGCGCCTTCCGGCCCAGTCTGGCCATTGCGTCTGCAGTCCACCAGTACATGCTCAGCGCCTCCAATGTCTCACAGCGCGTAGCGAGATCGGCCTGTGCACGATCGGTGTCTTCAAATGCATTGTCACGGAGACCGCGGTATGCAACTGTCAGTGCGAGGCCGACCGCATAGGGCACCAGAGGAATAGGTTGAACAGACGTGTGACGACCGTTAGCGAGGAGTTCCTGGATCCGATCAGCCGCTGATATACGGCGGGCATAGGAGGTCGTGGAAGGACCACCTGCGCGGCAAGAGAGAATCGCGATGACGTGGTAACAGAGCTCGAGGATACCTGGGGAAGAATGTTAGCGACACAGGACGATGGTAGGTCAGGACCGACGTAGAAGAAGTATCATGATCAGAAGAGCCGACTCACTTTGTTCCGAGACTGGAAGTAAGGACAAATCGATACCCTCAGTCAGCGACCGATAGGCTGGGAACTCAGCCTCCCACCCTGTACACTCCGGGTCCGCAGTTGGTCTGTAAAATTCAATGACCTCGTCGAGAAGGTCTCCCAATCTCAGCCACAAATTGATTACATTGCTTCTGGGAACGCCGTTCTCCAGGGGCGGACGAGCGATGTCGATGTCTCGATTTGCGATCACAATTGGCCGCCCACCAAGACAGGCATTGATCTTGTCGAGAGTCCAGATGGTCCACCATAACATGCTTGACTGGTCTTTGGGGGACCGTCCTGGCGTGTGGATATGGAGACCCGCTGTCCAGGCATCGTGAATTGCTTGCGACAGATGCAGTGAGGACTCTTCAATGCCCCCTGGTCCATCATTATGTAGATGCATCAATGTCAGAATCTGGACCTTGGTGACTCTATCAGGTTCCAGGTCAGCTTTCATTGCTGCATCCAATCCCGTATGTAAACTCCGGGCGAATGGGATGGGATCAAGAAGTGGCCCGTCATCATAAAGTAGGAGGTATGGAGCGGCCTCCTCGGTCTTGCAGGTGACAAGACATATGGCCTGCATGAGGAATATTGAGCACCGTCCCTCGGTATAGTCCCGAAGCAGTTTAATGCCGTTCAGGATGGGTAGCAGTCCATCAAAGCATGCAATGTAAGTGGTGACCAGGGCGTCCTGAGTCGCCTTGGGCAGAACTCGAAAGGCTCCCACGGCTTGCAAGTAATTTCGTTGATGACCAGTCAGGATCCTTCGACCACCTTCAACCCTGCCATACTTCTCGACATTGAGTGGCGTTTTGTCGCCCGACTTGTGCGGTTGGGGCGGGCCAAGGTCCTCTGGAGGGAGTCCATCTTGTAAGTCGCGAGACTGTTCGACCCAGGTGCCGACCCGACTGATCCTCTGGCCGCCTTGCTTCCTCGACGACAAGTCCGTGAGGATGGACTCGGGGTTCAAGTCTCCCACGAAACGGATGGGTTCTTTGTGTGTCAGGTTGGGCAGCACCCTGTCAAGCCCATCAGAATCTGCCTGCTGCTCTGGCGGGCGCTGAAAGGTGTGATGACAGCGCTTCTTCGCGGCGCGACATTTCTGACATGCCCGTGCGGCTCTCTTGCGGCTCGCGAAGGCCGCCGTGTCCGCCTCCCAAACAACTTGCATCGAATCCCAAGGGCTGTCCGGGTATTAGATTTTAATGAAGTGAGGGAATTGGTGGGGGCAGAGCCGGCGGCTGATCTGAAAGCAGATATCGCCCCGCGGCACGCTACACGTGACTGGATATTTTTCTTTGCTGTCACCTGACGCACGCACTACGTCATTCGATTTAAATAGCTCCAGACTTCGACCAGTCAAGAGTTCAGCCTTGCACGTGCATTGTTACTTCTTTGTTTACAGCGTGTCTTTTGACATGTCAGCAATTACACGTGCGGGATTCAGTTCTCCCACTGCAATAAGAGAAATTGACAAAGGATATGTTGCCAATGATCTTCCCTTAAGGCTCAGCCGTGTGTGACGTCGACTCCTGCAGACAAATCCCTATACCGCCGTCTTCTTCTTGACTAACAACAGCACACCATACACAGCCGCCTTGATCTTCTCATTTCCTTTCTCCACTCCTGCTTCGTGCAACAGCTGCTCAATCTTCTGGCGAAGGATTTTCAGCACATCCCTCTCCGTGCCAACGTCGTCCGGGTGTGCCTGGCGCCAGCGCGTCTCTGCACTCCCTGTCGCCATCATCTTCTCAAACGTGTCCATATCTGCTTCAGGTAGTCCCACAAAAAATTCTTCACTTGGATCCCACTCCTGCCGGACGAACGTCGTTTGGTCAAACTCGGCAACGGGTTGAGCCAGAGTCCACGGAAGAGGGAGATCAACATAACGGCCTCGCACCAGGAGCGAGCCTGGCTCAAAGTAGGGCTTCATGTTACGCTCTTGATGGTGATCGAACGCGGCCTGGATGGCAGCGGAATTGGGCATAGACGGATGAGCACGAATGTCGCCACTCGTCCATATGGCGACGGTACCTCCTGGCTTGAGAACGCGTGCAGCGCTGGGCCAGAAGCCCGACATGTCGAACCAGTGAGCGGCATTGGAGGCAGTGATGAGGTCGACGCTAGAGTCTGCAACAGCTGGAGACAGGTTTGCTCCGAGTTCCTCCGCCGTGGAAATTTCAAAACGTGCAGGCTCAGAAGTGGACGAGACGATGCCCATCGAGCGAGCGATAGCGAGCATGCCTTCGGAGGGATCCAGACCCAGGACGTGAGCAAAATGAGGCGCAAGCCCTCGAGCCGCAAGACCAGGGCCGCAGCCGACATCAAGAACTGTGTCAAAACCACCCCCAGTTGAGGAGTGGTAGTCGATGACGGCTTGATACACCTTTGGATGGTAATCGCGGCGAACTTGGGCATAGGCTTTGCCCTGGTCCCTGTTATAGGAGCTGAACGTCTTTTCCTTTGGAAAGAGGGCAGATGCTGATTGTGGCGTGGCCATGGTGCTTGCGGGCAGCAGAAATACCGTCGTGCGGATTGCTTGTTTTCGGGCTGAAGTTTCGAGAGTATAGCCCCGATCAGAACTGAAGGGCAGAATGAGAAACTGATTTATCCTGCCTCTGGAGTCACACAGTATCGAACCCCAGCGGAAACGAGCCTAGCGGAGGTAGATATGAGTCGGTGGGAATGCAGAGTTATTTATCTGCCAACTTGGGAGCAAGGCTGTGGAGGTGGGAGGCCAGCCAATCACAGTGTAGTTTCAAGGCTATTGGACATTCCACTAAGCCTGATACAGGGGACCATTGCGAGGCCCCAATCAGCACACCCGGTAAGTCGAGACACCGGGCGTAACGGAATGAAAGTATCATGTACAAGTACTGGGTTCTTTCACACCGATACCGGGCCACAGAGCTTGTGAATGTCCGCGTCCACACGAACGGAGACGTTTTGCCAAAGCGGCATCGGCCATACAGCTCGCCTGCCGCACACCCATAGTAGAACTGATGTGACGGAGATGCTCCACTGCGAAAGAAAACACGGATAGATCATTCCTTTCCTCGAGGGCTATCAGAAAAAGCGAGTGCATGAACGAGAGGATGCCTGAAAGAAGGGGTTAGCCAGAGGAATTGTATTAAGTGAGACGAGGGGATACTTGCGTGGAGAGTCTCGGAAACTATACGTTGAGATACAAATGTCAATGCATAGCTGGCGAATGGTGGAAAGGGCCAGGTCTGTCAGTGCACTGTCAGGATCGGGCAAACGGGCCTCGTTCTGCAGGATGAGTTGGTTGACGAGAACTCGAGCGGCGCGCCAGGAGTTCCAAGCTTCTGCGATCCAGAGATTCGGATAGACATGCATCTTACCAGCAAAGTGGGTGTCATTAGCAGCGTCAGACAAAGAGACTGTAGTATATTTCCAACTTGGGGGCAAGCCTGCTCTCCACGTCTCGAGATCTGCATCGATTTCTAGCGCAGTGGCACGAATTGCTTGGGGATCTATCGCCCCTTGATCTTTCAAAGCTGCACGGAGGTTGGCGAGTCGAAAACAAATCTCAGTGATAGATCCCGGGCTGGCGATGTTTGCACGCTGCCAATTTTGTCTCAAGGTGCCTGTTTGAAAATTGAAGGTCGCTTTGACTAGGGCGTTGGGGACGGCAACATGCTCCTGCATGCAGGCCAGAAGCTATGGTTTTGATCAGACAATGAATCCCGCTGTGGGGGTAGCTCGAGAGCGTTACTCACGAGGTACGAGCGAAACTGTACATAGAGCATCCCGCCACGCTCGCTGCTGAATTGGTCGTGGCCACGAAGCTCTAGGACAGCCGCGCCAGCTCTGATGTGAGCAACCCATTCGGGGCACCTGTCCAAGATTTCGCAATTGATAGTCTGTAGGCAAGTGAGTGAGACCTCCCGACAGTTCGACCGAGATGGCAGTTTAGCTTACCTCGAAGAACGCAAGCAACATAAGGGCCATAAATGTCGTGTCTGAAACGGCTTGGATTGGGTCGTGTAACGCTTGCTGCATGGACGCCAGAGCTGCAGAATACTGCGCTCGAGCCTGAGATTTGATGTGTGAAGTGTCGAAGACGTTTGACAGCCCCGCCATGCCTACTGCCTCGATCACCTTCCTCAAGACGTTGTTGGGTCCTTGGTCAAAGTAGGACTTGGTCAACCAAGCATGGTGATTATTGAAAGTACAATCTTTGGGAGAGTACTTCACGAAGAAGAAGTTCGCCCCCAGATCATGAGAAGATGGTGATAGTGGACGTGCAATGGTCACAGGAGGTTGGCGAGATGCGGCGAGGTATTCCTTCCTGAAACCTTGGGTATTGTTCTGTGAAGACTCAATAGCGGCCTGTGGTGAGGTCCAAACCATGCTCAAATTTTCCTCTTGACGGCATCTTCGAGCAACCCTGTCGGATTCATCTCTGATCCTGACCTGATCGACGTTGCGGTAACCAGGACATTTTTGTTTCAATCTCGCGCACTTGAGACATCCTGGTCTCCCTTCGTCGCACTGGCCAAATTAAGCCGGTCTGAACAAGTCAAACATTGTAAATAGGTCATATTAACTTACCTTGACCTTGCGTTTCCGGCACAGCTCGCAGCCTTTGCTAGGAGCACGACAAAATACCATGGCATGGATGATCTTTAATTGTTTAAAGACGGTCCTCGAAGATTCTGGTAGTATAGTCCTCCCTCTAAATCGGTGCTACCAGCCCGGTAAAAGCTCACTACCTCTGCTTGGAAAAGGCCAATTGTTCCAGCAGACAGGTAGCGCAGCAGGATGAATTTGTCTCGGTATTATGCGGTGCGAAAAGTGATTGGTGTTGCTCTTTGGTTTATTAGTTGCACAAGTGCCTCGTCTGTCACCCCCACTACCTTTGAACAAATTCATGTCTAAATGGGCCGCTTGTTTTGCGAACAGCAAAAGGAGCCCTTCGGGATGGTAGGACGTGGTTATGTCTCCAATCGTACTTAGCAAATTACTGTTCGATGTATTCCACGAATATCACCAACTACTACGAGACTCTCCACTCGACATCAATAACTTTATCACTCGGTTGCTACGACGTCCTAGAATATTGCAAGCAATGTTTCCATTTTGGCATAATTCTCATTCTACCTGACTGCATATGCTCATGACTCTTGACCGAATCCGGTACGTATGGGTAATTGGTCTCATCAATCGTCCAAGGACGGAGTAAAGATCTAATTCACCATCACCAGGATTCTTGGAGAGCAATCCAGTTGTCCCCTTGCTCTTTCACAGAAGACCACTTTGCGTTCGATCCTCATCTCGGCCACGTGCAATGTTGACTGGTTTCATCCTTCGCATCCTTGTTCGATGCCATCGCGTTTTCTGCTCGATCGAAAAGCTCCAGTAAACCAGTTGCTGGGTGTGAATTTTCGAAACCCAGCTGTACCCGAAGCGCAGAATCTTCATCGGGATAACATACCGAAAGGAATAAACAGTCGTAAGCTTAAAACTCCATTCGCCCTTATTGCAGGCAACCCATGAAATACAAGGCACAGGAATGCAGGAAGCGCTGAGACTGTTTACAGCTCATCATGCTCCTGGACACCACCGTCATCAGTATCTGCGAGCATCGTCTTGGCTGCCTCTGCAGCCTCACTAACTACACTCTTGACAGCATCAGCAGCTCCCGAGGACACTTCTTCAGCCACAGTAGTAGCAGCCGGAGCAGCTTTCGCCAAGCTGTCGCTGACAGTAGATGAAACGTCTTCCATATCGACATCCTCGTCACTCTTCGACAGAGCGATACCATCAACTCCGTGTTTGCCGTTGTCACGGATAAAAGCCGCAAGGTCTTCCATCGTGCGGGAACCTGAGTAATCAACAGGAGAGTCCTTGGCACCAGCAGGGTACAGCTTGATGGTGGGGAAGCCAGCAATCTCATCGGGAACGTCGTTGAGGGTGGCATCGATCTTGGCGACGGTGACCTTAGAGGAAAGTTCGCTGGAGGTGTAGAGCTCTGCGAGCTTCTCATAAGTCGGGGCAAGGCTAGAGCTCGTTAGCCACGGTACTTTGAAAGTGCATGAAAACTTACGCTTTGCAGTGTCCGCACCAAGGAGCGTAGAACTCGATTAGCACGTCTTTGGAGTCATCGAGGACGATATCCCTGTACGAATGGGCAACAACGACGGTTACAGGGCCTTCCTGTTTCTCTGGAATGGGCTCGGATTTGATGCTGGGTTCAAGTTTGCCATTGACGAAGTCCTTGACGAAAGCACCAATCTGTTTCTCGCTCAGGTCGTTACCAGCGAATGGGTATTTCTCATTCTTCACTGTCTCTTGGATGGCGAAGGAAGGGAATTTGTCAGTTGGCAGGTTCAAGTTGCCAGCATGAGCACCGAAAGCTTTGGCATCGATGGTTGCGAAGTTGATGACACCTTTGTATTTCTCAGCGACTGGCCTAAGTGCTTCAGCCAGAGACGATCGTTCTTCCGGGGTTTCAGCGAAGATGTAGGCGAGAGGGATACCGGCCTGTCAAACGCATTAGTACCACGGTATGGTGACGGTCAAAGGAATACATACACCCATGTAGCCAGCATAGGTTTCCGGGCCAACTTCACCAACCAAAGGCGTCGAGGCGGTCTTGATGAATTTCGAGATGGCCTCCTCATCAAACGACTCGGTGAATGTGTTCTTGCCCTCATCGAAATCCTTGTAGAGCACGATAGCAGGTTGCTTGATGCCTTCTGCCTTGGCAAGTGCGGCATCGTTCGAGGCTCCGAAAATGTATTCATCCCTTAGCGACTCGGCGAGAGAGGTAAATGTCTGGTTTGATGCTTTGTCGTCGGCTGCAATGTACGCGACGATGACAACTTTGTCTGTAGTCTTGAACTCCTCGAGGGTATCGGGGCTGAGGGTGGAGATGGCAGGTAGTTGCTGCTTGGTCATATATGAGACAATCCTGTTCACCCGTTAGTCGCGTACATCTCTTCAGGATTAATTAGTGAGTTGTGACTTACGCAGGCGCCTTCCTGGCACCAGGATAAGGCTTGATGTTGTCCAAGCCCCGGAAGACCTTGACGGTAGGATAGCCCTCGACACCATAGTCCTTACACAGATCACCCTCAGCCGTGCAGTCGACTTTCACAAGAGGGATGTTCTTCTCTTTCAGTGTGGCTGCGGCCTCTTCATACTCGGGTGCCAGCGCTTTGCAGTGGCCGCACCATGGAGCAAAGAACTCTGCCAGGACCAAGTCATGTTCGGAGATGAAATCTTTGAAGTTGTCTGTCTTCAGATCATGGACGTCGCTTGCTGAGGAAAGGCCAGCAAAGGCAAGGCTGATCGCAGCCAGAGATGCGATTGATCGCATGATGGGAGAACTATTAGAGCCGGGTGTGCAGTGGGGAATAGAGTGATCGTGGCCGGTTTGGGGGGACACAAAGGAATGGAAAGATCGGATAGATGGTTCAGGTTCAAGGTTTCTGAGAAGTCAAGGGGACACTGAACCCTTTATTCTCAAGGTACAGTTTCTGATAGAGTGAATACTGTCGCTCTCCCTTCATTGAGGAGAGGTGTCAACTACTTTTTTGGGGGCTTCACCAACAACTCCACACGGCTTTCGCCTTTCAGCTGCGGCCCCCTTTCCGCCGACTCGTTGACCCTGAAACGCGGAGTTGATAATCAGGGGTCCCTTTCCACCCAAGCCACCTTTTCCCATTTTACACAGCATCGATAGGCTTTCCGTCAGGGATACTTGGTATCAGTGCCCACCAAGCATTCACCTTAATAAAAAATCACCAACGGCCCTGCAATTGCGTTTGGAAAGCTAATGTCGATCTCAGATGCGCGGAGAGTCTGATTGGACGGACTTTCTATGCAGCACAGAAAGCAAAAAGACAGCCACATTAGCAAGGCGTATGCTGCCTGGTATTTCTAAGCAATGATGCATCTGGAATTCCTCCAGGGTTCCGGGTATCTAAGCCACACATCGCTATCACCTCGAGCCGCGCTCTTGCAAGAGCTAACCTCAATCTTCCTCCTCGGAGAGCACTATCGTGGGTATCGTCGTATATCTAGTGTCATCTCTTGCTTTGCGGCGTCCTTCGAGCTCCAATGCCATTTGATACGCTTCAGCCTTTCCTCGATCAACATCGACCAACAACATCAAAGGCAGCGGGAGGAAGATCAGTACTGCCAAAAAGACAAATGCAGGTCGGATCTCGCCGTATCGATCCGTGATGGCGCCAACAATGGCCGGACCAAAGATGCTGGACCCTTTGTCTGTGATTGCGTACAGGGCGTAGAATGCGGCCTCAAACCCAGGCGGGATCAATTCGCCAAAGAACGCCCGGCAATACGACGATAGCCCACCAAGAACGAACCCGTAAATTGCCCCCAATGGATACATCTCCCATGGCTGCTGCAGGCCAAAGACGCCGTATCGTTTGATGGCAGGAATAAACCCCAAGAGCCCATACAACGGAATGATCTCAAACAAGCAGATGCACGCGACAATCGTCCTAGATGCGCGAAGATTGAAAATCCGAGAGATGAAGCTCCAGTAAAATGCGCCGATGACTCCCGCAATCGTTGCAATAACGTTGATTAAGCCAAGAGCTGGGGTGTTCATTCCAAGACTCGTTTTGGCGAAGAGCACTGCTGTCCTGTATTCTCTTAGCAGTGTATTCTTCGTGACCTGATAAGGGTTCAACAACTTACCCGCTCACCGTGGCAATGCTGTCGCTGAGCAAAAACCAGGCGCAAAGAAAAATCACGATATCCTTCAGTTTTCTGGCGTGTCCAATTGTCGTGAACAGAGCTTTCCAAGCATATGTCACGTACGACACCCACGCGTAGCGGCCTGTCAACTCACTTGGTAGAGGCGGCCCTGGTCGCGGTCGCAACCAAAGCGCTGCTGGAATGCTGAACACAAACCACCATACACCCACAAGCAGGAGAACCAGTCTCAAGGATAGGAGTGTGGATTTTGTTGCGGCTACTATACCGATACCGATAATTTGCACAAATAAGCCAGCAATATATCCAATGCCAATGCCATTTGACGATATCTTGGTGGATAGCCTGAGGGCAGGCGAGATCGCGGCAGGCGATTCTTCGGAGGGCGAGGTATCGTCGGCGCGGTCTCGAGGTAGGAGGCCTGACGTCGAGCTCGTCAGAGCGTGGTCTTCGTGTTCCATATATTCGTCATTATCGCCTGTTGCCTGGTTCTCTTCATTTTCACGCTCGATAGACGGGTGGTGTCGTACCAGCAAGGGTAAGAAAGAATTCAGCAACACAAATGACGCTCCAAAGCATGTGTTTGCAATGATGGCGAAGAGCGCTCCCAGCAAATAGACCTTGGGTATGACGGTGATGAAGAGGGCAGTAGCTGTCGCTCCAGTGAAAGCGAAGGCGAGAAGGAATGTCTTCCGAAACCTGCCGTGATCGGCTGCTGCAGACATAGAGATGATCAGGAGAGCTTGGATCAGCACGCTGATTGAGAAGGTGTACATGGCAAAACTGGCAGTATTGATCTCGGCGCCCAGGATGTAGACGACACATGCAGGAAGCTCATTGTGCGGGTGTTTGGGAGAATCGAAGACGGTTTCGTTCGGCGATGTGCCGTGGTCTGTTTTCCAGCCTGCGCTGCAGGGTGTTGTCTTATCTTTTAACAGTACTCCCCGTTCTCTGGCTAGTTGCTCGAGGGTAATGGGTAAAAACGACCCTGTAGACTGAGGTCAATGCCAAAGGGCAACACAAATGTTTCCAAGATAGTCATGCTCACCCATTGCGCAGATGGCAAAGACCTCTGCGGCCCAACCATACGAGTACCAACCCCATAACTCTTTCTCGCTTGTCGGCCTCGTATCTTCGTCCAAATACCTAATCTCCCCTTCAGGTTCTGCGAAGTCGCCCATGTCGGAATCTGAGTATCCCCACGAGGACTCTCGCTCGTCATCCGCTTCTACGGAAGGTGTCGGGGAAATCAAGCTGATTTGTGACTGATGGGACGACTGGCGGGACAGAGGCGGTCGCTGACGGGAGGCAGCAGAGAGAGGATCATGGCGAGGAACCTGTTGTAACGATGAGACAAGATAATGCTAGAGGTCAAGGAACGTGAGAATAAAGGATTGCGAGACAAGGTCCTGACATTTGATGGTCGAAATGATGATGACAGTTCAGGGTGGTTTGTAGGCCTGCCGAGGGCCTTCTAGGTTTGGTGATTGGCGCAAGGGAACTCACCATGTTTTCCTTTAAGGGACTCTCCCCTAAAGCTCCACCATCTGGCTATTTGTCCACCTTCTCTACACTATCAGATCCTCCTGAACTCCCAAATGCTTCCGCCATCTTACAGATCAGAACAGAAGAAGAGAACCATCAGTCATTGCGGAGGGTCGTGGAGTCTTTATCTTTGGCGTGTGCACACGAGAAACCTGCGGGTCAGCTTAGACTAGAGCGTGAAGATGCGGTGTTAGAACGCAGGAGCAGCGTTGATCGATGCTTCAAAGAGACGATCCACCACCAGTGGGATGCGCGAGTCTCTTATTTGATCAGGATGGGCCTCTGGGCTCTGTTTGGGCCAGCCGATATCTGTCCATATCTCTGGTTTCGCGCAACTAGCACCTCAAACTCCTCCGAAAGCATATCAAAACTGCCACCATGGAGACTTATCTCATGACCACTGAGAGAGTCTGTTGACTACCACTAGGTGGGCTAGAAGGTGGTGATCTTGCATTATTCTGGCATCGCTCTGGGGTGTTCAGCCTACCAGGGACCTGCGGGAGCACCACCTTCTCCAATGGCTTGCTTCCAGCCAAGGGATGGCGCGCATAGGATGGCCTACAGGTGGACAGCGAGCCTACCATCACCCACGTCCACAGAATCGAGCCACAGAGCCAATCAAAAGTGTTTCCTGGACTTCTTCCGCAACATGCGTTGGGAGGGTGGTGCACTGGACACATCTGGCCGCAGTGGTGTCACATTCTTGTCACATATCTGATCCCCTGATCTACGAGTAAGGTTATCTCATGGTATGGTGTACACGTAGGCATCAAACATGGCTGCAGCAGCGGATTCTTTCTCCGTTCGCTTTTCTTTTTTGAAGCCACAGTGATTTCGCGGATTGTGTAATGTAGCATGTACCAAGTAGTGTGGCGTATAACCAGTGGCTCATTCCGGTGCGAACTAACTGGAGTAGCCAGGTTAGTGTAGATACTCCGTGCAAACCTTCCCTGCTAGAGTATCCATCTTAAGTATCGGGGCCACTGAGGCCGTCCCCCCTCCTTTGTGAAATACTATGGAATGCGCTAAGCCGCTTTAGATTAACCATCCTGCTGCCTTGTCTCCCAACTTTGACGCCTTAGGCGCGGTCCAATCGCAATCTGCGTCACCCGCTCTACTGTTTGGCGCCGGCTTTCGTGAAACTTGGCGCAGGCCAGCCTTTGACCGAGTGCTCCGTACAAGGAACCAGTGTTGTGCCTGATCCTTTGACAGCCGACTTCCGCGCGGGTCTCATCATTCATTCAAACATCATTCCATCCTCAATCATCCCTTTACGACTCAATCACAAATCAATTGCTCCCCGTTCTGACGCGGTCGCTAAGTCACCTAAACTCCTACCCAAGAGTGTCGGGTTGCGCGCTCGATACGACATCGCCAGCTGACCTCGTGCGCCGCTCCAATCGTCGACAAAATTCCTCTTCTGCAAACGGACAATCTGCAGCCTCGAATTCGTCACTCCTCTCCCCATCCTTCCTTTCATTCCTGACTCTCGAGCACCCTCATCACTTTAGCGCTGAGAGCGCTGTCGACCAAGACTAGTGTACTACAGTCCCCACGAACCAGACTTCTTTGATTGCGATCGAGCCGACCACACTTGGGCGCTTGAATTTCGGGGCGTGGGGACAAATACAGTGACTTACAATTTCGGGTTTCGATTCGGCGTCTAGGGCGCACATACAGGTGTGCCGGCCATGCATTGCTTGATGGTTGATTCCGCTTCAATATGAACGGGGAAAGGCCCACGGCCAACGGGGACCGAATCGCAAATGGCTCCGGACCACCTGTCGCGGATTCCACGCCCGAAGTTGGACAGTTGAAACAAGCATCATTGTCTCAGAATCCACTGCAGCCATCCGTTGACAATACTCGTGCCTGCGCAAATGGAGATGTCGAGCCAAGTCAGCGCGCTTCCGACAACAGAGGCAACAATGCTTCCCTCCAATCCGAAGAAGCGCCGTCTGAGATCCTACAGCTTATCTCTCAAGACAGTTACCTGCCGATGGCCGCCCTGATAAATCGGGCTTCACAATCATGCTGGAACTGCCTCTCTGATTTGGTGACGCAGTTGGCTTCAATGCCTGTCCCGGATCTGCCACCAGAACAAACAAAACTTCTACCTAACGGCCTGTCTAACAATCAGTCAAAGGCAAACCTCGACAAGAAGGACCGAATACTGAAGTTCTCCAATGATCAAAAGGCGGATTTTATAAAGCTTCTAGTATTGCTGCAATGGAGCAAGAATGTGGAGGAAGTGAGCAAGACCATTTCAATCAATTACTGGCTCATGAAACGCCGAGAAGCATACTGGAATGCTATTGGATCGATGGCCCTTCTCAAGCAGGAGTCTTCGGGGTTTCAAATACCAAATCCCGACCTCAAAACAGCAGCCGAAGTTCTGTCAAGAGGTAGGGTGCTCAATCTCCCCCGATTGAACTATATACCGCAAAAAGACCTCTCTAGCAGACAGATACTGCGAGTCCTCCGCTCGCTCAACCGAGCGTTGAGCGTCAAGCTAGCACTTTCGGACGACTTACCCCCTCAGTTGCGACGTTTTCGGATTCATGATGGACGTGCTACTTTCACTGTGCCCAATGAGTTTGAACTGGATGTCTCCATACTAGGCGAAAGAGAAGACTCTCCATTCCGCATGGTTGATTTTCGGTTCTCGTTCCAACCATACCCTCATATCCCCGACAGTTTACATTCGGAGATAGAATTATACGCCAATGCCAACATCGATCGAGACGGGCTGAAAGGCTGTTACGACTTTCTACATGAGCTGGCTTTGTCTTACAAATTAGCCGAACTCCACAAACAAGCCCTCGATTTAGCTCGAAACCAGTGGGCAGGCAACCTACGCGTCGAGTTGATTCGCCGAAACCTCATCGTGCAGTATTGGCCTGAGAGACAATTAGGGAAAAGCTGGATTGAGATCGGCATCGCTAGCGGTCGGGAGAAGCAGAAAATGACCAAGGTGGACTCTGGCCCTTTTCTCGAGATCAAATGGATGCGACAAGGCAAAAATATAGACGCCCTGCAACTACACCTGAATGATGCGCTGCTTTGTTTCGAAGACGTTCTCCGACAGGTAATCGCACAACATACAACACAGATTCTGGACAATATTTACGATAAACTCATTCTCACACCTCTGTTTGCCAACAGCGAGCTCTTCTTGGAGCAATCGCTCTCATTTGAGGAACCGGAAAATTGTTTCCTAACGTTGGAACTCTCGCGCTCCTCGGATTTGCAGCTGAAAATTGATCCTGTGACAGGACTACTTGTTCTCAGCCCCGTTACAGAGAGAACGGAACGACTTCAGTATGAGGTGAATCGGGTCCAAGGCGTCACCGATGACGTCGTGTCCAAGCTCCTCAACTACAGGTGCAGCATCATGGAAACCAATGTCCTTGTCGGTATTTTGGGCACCTGTTGGGAGGTGCTGCGTTCTTTCAAGCTCAGTCAAACAGAGGCGAGAGCATTGTTTGGAGGTCCAGTGTCGAGGATGAACATGCTCCGACAGAGTCTGTGGACGCTGGACTATACCCTCGCAATCACACACGCCTCGGATGGCGACCATTGGTGGTTGTTGCAGCAAGCTTCCCCTGGCACCACTAATCCCCAGACTCGTTATAGAGTTCTTCGCAAGCAGCGGCTAGAGGTTAAAGAAGAACTGTCTTCTGCTTATTTCGATCGACTTGCAGAGTACCTGATGGGGCTGATCTTCCTGGAACGCAATGCCGACTTCTTCAGGGAAAGGAAGGAGAAGTTTGATCTACGACCTTTGCCAACCTTTGGACGGCATTATGAATTGCCGCAGTTATCATTTGACTTGGATATGGCTAGGCCGGGTTTTTCAAAGCAATCCATACCTCTCGCTGCTTCCAGCAACACCCTGTTGCGAGTGGCCAAAACCCCAACCAATTCTCCCGCTTCACAAAAAGGCATCAAAGTCTGCTTCGGTGGAGTTGACCGGTCCATGAATAAAGTCAGGGCTGTCGCCCAGTATCGCCATCAAGCCAGTTCTTCGGTACTTAGACGCCTGGAGAAATCTGTACTCGATGCGGGCGTCTCTCTCAATCCCGACGACAAGACCGTTATACTTCGGGTCACTACCAGTATAGCGGAAGCTGCAATTCCAGAGATTGTCAACAAAGCTATGGACGTTGAAAAGGTGGTCTCGACAGTCGAGCAGATCCATCGACTCCCAGGACTGAGACTGAAAACGATATCAAATTCCAGTTTTACCATAGCTTATCACAAAGAAGCATCTGCCGAACTAGAACTCAGGATCGGATTTCCAAGCGGCAATCAAGAACCGCAACTCGATTTCTTCCCGCCCGAGCAGAATCCACATCAGTTCCTGGCAGCACAGTACACGAAATTGATTGCCGCAAGCCGCGGGCCGTTTGCCACCAGAATACGCGACTTCCTCACCTCGTTGACTCTGACGCTTCCACTGTTAACCTATCTTCAAAAACTTCAGCAGAAACATGGACTGAACCTCGACGCACAACAGCAACAGGGCCCGCCCGAGCAAGAAGATCATCTGCGAGTGCATATCCTTGTGAGGAGCGCGACTGCCTTTGCGATACAATACTTCGCACCCGCCGGACAAGCGCCAAAAGATGTCAAAGCCGATTCCCAGCCACATATGCTGGCGCGTCTGGAGATTTTGCACCATATTAACGTGTCAAGGAAACCAATGTGGCTGGTGCGCGCCGCGCTTGAAGAGTTCCAATCCTACTCTAGGCCATCATACTCGACACCAGAGCTGGGGGCGAAACTCAAGCAGGAAATCTTTACGCGTTCAGACGGGCAGTCAAAGTGGCTTGCACTGGACAAGGCTGCCGCCTGTATGGCAGACCAGCCAGAGCCTTTGCTGCAGGCTATGCATGACCACCTGTGGGAATGGGCTAAGATGGCAAAAGCGTCCGAAAGCAACGTGTCCAATACCCAGCCATTTACCAAGACCAAAACTGGGCCAGGACACACAAATGCAAACAATGCCAATATGCCGAATGGTACCAATAATCGACCGTCTGCTGCAATGAAAGGCCCCGCAGGCAAGATGCAAGCACCAGGCAGTGCGATTCCCAACGGGGCTAATGTCAAAGTCCAAAGACCACCAGGCACTATTCCTGGAGGAAGGCCGATGCCACCAAACCACAAAGCAACCGCCAACGCTGCACAGAAACAAGAGGTCATCATGCTGGACTAGCCTTGGACGGCTGCAGCCGACTTGTGACTCGTGTATCAACTTTTCTTTGACGATTCCCGATTTTTTTTACTTTGCTTGACATTGTTCATAATGGTCTGAGAGGGGCTCGACCGGGGGTGGTGACGATATACCAAAATGGGGGGATACCTAACTTTTTTGTTATGCAACAAGGCCAAACGGTGGCTGGCGCCGCTTGATGATAGTCAATACCTATGGACGGAGTCTTCCCAGCTGGCATCACGAGTACATTGCCAGCGATCTGTATCTTGAACGATGGATAGAAATTCTTTGCATCATAGGGGACCATTTTAATGACAGTGCCGATACCACTCTCTAGTCTCCGGATACAGCAGATCGTATGTCTCATCCACACTTGTCTACCCCAGTGGCCTCAGTAGCCAGCGTGCCAGCCTCGTCGTGGGGTAGCAAGGCTGAAGGACCTTGTGATTTACGCGTCAATTGACGGCGCGCGCGGCGCGACTCTCGCTCGCTTAATGCGCGTTGCTGCCTATTCACCAAAGTACGAGGTACAGTATTCGAAGATTCAACTTCCAACTCGTCAATCCTGGGCAATTTATATCCGCATTGAACAAATCTGTGCATGCTACGTTCTCGCGTGTCTAGTCGTGTCGCTCCATTGATTTCCAGCTTTTCTCCCAGACCCGTCCCGAGACGATCCTCCTCCGCTGCAATGTCGTTCTACAAACGAAAAGACCCACCGACCTCGTCATCCGATGACGCGAAGAAGCCCAAGAAGAACGGCAGTCTGACATCCTTCTTCGGTCCGCCCAAGGTTACCACGAAGAGCGGAGGGGCGTCGCACGAGAATGGCATCGCCTCCGCAGCTGCGTCGAGCGAACCGCCACCGCCAAAGTTCGACAAGGACAAATGGGTGGCAGGCCTCACGGACGAGCAGAGGAAGCTCCTCAAATTGGAGATCGACACGCTGGATCCCAGCTGGCTGGCTGTCCTGAAAGAGGAGATTGTGACACCAGGGTTCCTGGATCTGAAGCGGTTCTTGCAGAAGGAGATCGATTCGAAGCAGAAGATCTATCCTCCGCTCGAGGATGTCTATAGCTGGTAATATGTCACCATCTTGCCCAAAGTCCCAGCCAGCTAGCTAACTGAGACGATGCTCGCCCTTAGGTCCCGACACTGTCCCCTCCATAAAGTTCGCGTCGTGATTCTCGGCCAAGATCCCTACCACGGCCACAACCAGGCTCACGGGCTGTGTTTCTCTGTGCGACCACCCACGCCCGCACCCCCTTCCCTGAAGAACATCTACATTGCAATCAAAAAGGAATACCCCAGCTTCAGCCCTCCACCCAAGAACGGCGGCCTCCTTACCCCCTGGGCGGACCAAGGCGTGCTCCTCCTGAATACCTGCCTGACGGTGCGCGCCGGCCAGGCCAACTCGCACGCAGGCCGCGGCTGGGAGAAATTCACCCAAAAGGTCATTGACACCGTCGTCAAGCTGCGGACCCGTGGCGTGGTGTTCCTGGCGTGGGGCATGCCAGCGCAGAAGCGCTGCGAACGCATCACCGGTGCTCGGCACCTGGTGCTGAAGAGTGTACATCCCTCGCCGCTCAGCGCGAGCAGGGGTTTCTTCGACTGTGGGCATTTCAGAAAGACCAACGACTGGCTCGAGACACGCTACGGCAAGGAAGGCACCATCAATTGGGACCTGAACGTGCCACCCCCAGAACAGCACCCCATCAAGGCACCAGCTGTGCAGGAACCGATGAAAGTGACAGAGACACAGAAGGAAGAGCCCAAAAATGCCGGCCCTGCAACTGGTTTGCCTGAGACGAACAAGGGAAAGAAAGTCGTGCAGCAGGATGAGTTTGAGGGGGAGGACGACGAGGATGCTATTGCCGCGCTGGAGGAGATTGCCGCAAAGGAAGAAGCAGAGGCAAGGGCAGAGGATAAGGCTAGCGTCAATAATGACGAGGCTGAGAAGGCTGAACACCTGAAAGATCCTCAATGAGCTCTTTGGTTTCTATTTTTGGTGGTTTCCCGATCGTGCACCCTTTTTTTCTCCTCCACATGATCTGTGAGCACTGCAGCTGCAGATGAAGGGAGTAAGGAAGGGAGGGCCACGAAACACAGTCGAAAAAGAGAGGTATGAGAGAGATTTTGTACAATAGGGGATTTACACCCAGAAAAGAAAGACAAAAAGTAAATGGGTCGAGCGAGCATGGTGTTCTGGGCGTTTATGGTTTGCAATGATAACAACCTCGTCACGAGGCTTGCTTACGACAAATACTAGTACTACTACTACTTTGTGGCCTGACCTGCCTCTCCAACCTCAGCTCTCAATACTCCGCAATCCGACCCTCCTCCAGAGCAGGCCTGGATCTGCGGTGCCAGTAGCTTGAATAGGCGAATATGACCGATATAATATCCAGGGTCCCGCGAATAAAACCACTCTGAGGAAATAGATGGTAGCTCTGCGTGTACCTCATTCCGCAGGACAGTATTGACAGAGTCACACTGGCCTTGGTTGCAATAACATCAGGAATCAGATGGTCGATGTCGATTGTGCGGTCTCGGGCCATGTACTGGGTACAGAGGGAGGGGATGGTGATAGAGCCAGCCAGGACCAGTATCATACTGCCGTCATTGCGCCTGGACGCTCATAGAACCGTGCTGAGACTCCCTGAGTGAAGTATATCGCCAAGCGGATCCCTTCCCTTCGAGCTGAGGTCCCCCCAGCCCCGGTGGAGACAGTCACAGAGGTACCGGTACAGAAAAATCACTCGTATAAATGTTTTCTCTGTCCAAATTCTGTCACGCAAAGACCCCCTTAGGACAACAAGGGCGAATCCACCAAGTGCGAGAGTTCGAGTCCCGATTCCGGCAAACACACACAAACACGCCATATAATCTGGGTCCTGTCAGGTCAAAACTAACTCCGGCTTAGCGGGCATCAGGACCTCGATTCGATTCGAATCCTCCTCCTCCTCCTCCCTCCGAGATTTCGGTCCTCTCTGGGCAATCTAACATCGGTTAGAGGCAATAGGACCATCGGTTCGACGACATCAACCACGTAGTATAAAATTCGTAGTATAACCGGCCGAGAAAAAACCAAACCCGCAAGGGCGAGTTTTCCTTATCACAGACCAGTAGGTTGAGCTGTTCTGTGATAAGTTTTTGCCGTTTGGCGCAAGGTCCAAATATCCTCGGAGGTGTTTTTGGGCTTTTAGCATTGTCCAGGACCGTGAATTGGATGGAACACATAGCTTGATGTGCAGTCTGTGTAGGTGAAGATTCCTTTCTGTGATGGTACGATTCAGCTTCATCGTGACATCCTAGAGCATTGCGGTTGCTCCTAACACAGGGTTGGAATACAAAATGAGGCTTCTGAATGCAGTCACCAATTTGATCCACATAGGAAGACCTCAGCTGGCAGGTCAAGGAGCTGGTTTCCTCTGCCCTTCGACAAGTCAATCCACTTTCCCAGAGCTGATGAATCTTGGTGGTTGCTGAATGTCCATTCGACCAACTTCAAGCCAACAATTTCAAAGGATTTTCTCAGTAGCACGCCAACTTCTCATCCATCCTGAATGTGATACAAGGAGGAGAGTAATTCCAGATCCTTGGCAATCGTTGGACTCGAATCAACAAAACCATAAATGAAGGCCAGCATCTTGGTGCACCAGGCTTCGTATCCCGATGGAAGCGTGTCTCGCAGTCGACGATCAGGTGAGTTCTTGAAAGCGTAGAAAATGAGTAGCTGCCCAAAGAATTGGCCACACGCAAAGTATTTGACGGGCTCAAAGTTGTGCATCCTCGCACAGACGTCCAACGTCATGTGCCAATCCATGGCATATTCGAGTGCTTCTGCACATAATTTGAGCTCGATGTCGTTGACTGACGCAGGATTTTGAATGGCTTTATACAGGAATGGTCGGCCTAGATGGAAAATTGACACCCGGTAACGCATTTGAAGCAAGGCGACGACAACTGCGTCCGCCGGACAGTCAAAGTCATGCTGTTCTCGGTCGCTAGCATAGCGTAGCGCCTGAGGAAGGTTGGCACGCCACTGCTCAAGCTGGTGGCGAAGCTCTTCTGCAACTTTAGTTGAGGGATTGCTGAAGAATAGTTCGTCCCTGATCCGGTTGAGGATTATTCTGTGGGCGATCTGCGCTAGAAAATGATAGTGGTAGAACGAGTCGTCCGAATATTGGGGGCGCGAACCGCTGGCATAAGGATATGTGGTAAATTTGGGGAGGGGTACGTCGTCTTCCCACGCTTTCAGACCACTTGGTGGAAGCTCCAACTCTTGAACGACAAGACTCTCCATCATAAGTGAGCACCAGAATAGCCTTGCTTGCATGTCTGCTAGCCACTCATCGGTCGCTTCGGGTGGGCATTTCCAGTATGCAGTGCAGATCATTGCCGCCCGACTGGTCTCCAGCCATTTATCCACTGGACGCATCGTTTGTGCAAAGAACACGGCCGATGTCAGGTAATACTGGCAAGCCTGAATGTCTCGCTCAGAGAGGCAGAAGCCGACTCGCCTCCGGGCTTCGTTGAAAAAGCTTAGGCCGGCGATTTCTTCTTCGATGATGTGTCGTATGACTGGGGTTATCGAGGCTTGATTTGATATCTCAAATCCGCCTTCTTCGTATGCCTTTATGGCCATACACCCCAGAGCCATGACATTTAGCACGAGACACGACTCTATGTCGTGGCCAAATCCCTCTCGAACTACAACAGCAAGAGTGCTGAGAAAGTAGAAATCGCGGTCGATGAATGGATACACCCGGTTGAAGGTGTCGAAATAAGCATTCGACAGGTCCTTGACGGAAGACAGGCTGAGGGAGGCGAGCCAGTCAAGCGTCGACAAGGCGCCTTGCGCTGAGATAACGGGTTCAAGCGACGGTCGCGCGGATTCCAGATGAGTAGGATAGCTTCCCTCCAGCTTTCGAACCTCGGAAGTCAGACCGCTTGGGAGTAGAGCCTGCACCCCTGGCCAGTGGATCGTTCGACGGGCACTAAATGATAGAACTGCAGATTGGGTGTTCAACAGTCGGGGCAATTGCTTCGTACTTGACAGTGGGGAAGGAAAAGATTGATGAGACACTACTGAATCCATATGATAAGGGCTCTCATGATGTGGTAGATTGGAATCGCCTCCCTTGTTAGCCTCGAGCTCATGAACCGATTTTGCTGACGCTGGGCCGGACATGTGGTCGATCTTCGACTCCATGCGCCTTAGAGTATTGAATATCATGCTCATCGAGATTTCATTTCTGTTACATTCCGGTCAGCCGCTGATCAACGCATACGAGGGTATAAGGCTGTGACCCACTTTGTCGGTTTACGTTCTGCGTAGGTGCACTCGATCCCCAGGCTTTTGCACAGACTACAAGGCATATCCTCGTCACATCTTGTCTTTTTGAGGCGACATGCTTCGCAGGCTTGTCGGGCAATAAAGTTGCGCTGCCTCTTTGCAGGTCTTGAATCGTCATATTGCGCCTCGTCGCTGGGCGCAAGGGCGCGGTGGTTCTCGTCACCCATTTGCAGTATTTGTTATTCGTCCCCGGCTTCTGCGCTTGGCACGGAAAGTTAAGCTCATCGCTATCACCGTACAGCAGCTACCGTCCGATGACAACAGAAAGGCCGACCTTGCTCCATGCTTCTGGCCCAGCAAAGTTGGTGATCGATATTTGTTCTGATGAAGGTCCCCAACATCTGACTGCCAAGAGACTAGTCCATAAATGGATTAGTCTCTTCTCCAATCTTCAGCTGCGAATATTGGGACATTGCCAGATCATGATTCCTTGTCACTTGATATCCGAACTCTCATCTCAAGCAATTCGATCGGCTTGTTCCACAGGTCTGCGATGGCCATGACGACACCTCCATCCGTCACCTCCCCCTTTAATCCCGAACAACCAGAAGCTAAGCGACATACCTGGTACCCTGACGACCTGATAATCTCATGGCGCCTGGATCACAATGGATGTCTCGGAAAACCTCCGGTCGCTTCTGGCACATAAAAGATTGCATTGGTCGACCTAGACAGGCATGGCTGGTAAACTGTTGAGCTGGCTGCCATAGATGTGTCCACACGAATCATGTCGCAGTCGGGTGACTTATGTACACACCTCACGAAAGATATCGTGTACAGCAGTGAGCTATTGACTAGCGGGTGGTATACTCTGTATCACACTATAACGTTCCCAGGGGCAGGATGGCAGTCATTCCCACAAGCCGGGCTACGAGATGTGTTCCTAGCCATGGTATGGTAGTAGCTGGAGGATTCATCTCACCGATGACCTTTTGAAGTCGTCCTCCCACCTCGCTCGCCGTCATGAAATAGGATAAGGCTGGTTTGATCAGCCATTGGGGAGATTGCCGAGGCCGATACCAGCCCGTATCTCTCACGCACTTCAGATAGTGACTGATAAAGGAAGGTGGCTGTAGCGTCCCAATGCTAAGGTAGCATCGAGAGCTTTGGGATGGATTCCCCCGCAGTCATCCAAACCTCAGCCTTACCAGCCACATTTGGCTACTTGGACACGGCTTCACTAGCCACCATCTATCAAATGTCACGGTCGCAATTTCCATGGTGCCCATCACTAACAAGGTAGAGCACAACTCTCCATATGCGTGGATGGTTTCTATAGTTACATCAGAGAACATATCACTCTATCGCAATCACAACCTCAATGTCTTGTCCATGGCCTCCTTTGCAAGGTCACTCACCATGTCTACGGAACGTTGCAGATGTTGTGTCACCTAAACATGCGGTGACTGGACAGGCTGCAAGGAGCTTCAGGCTGTGTTACCTCAGTCGTCCAAAGACATAATAGTCTTGCATCCCTCCATTCTGTCAAGTGAACTGTTGACGGGCTTCAATTCTCTCTCTGGTGCTCAAGGTACGCGATGCATTTTTGTCTCCTCTTTCCACTGACGACACTCGTTGTCAGCCTTCTGAATGGCTTGGTAGGTGCCATTGCCGCCAACCCTCTCCCGGCGCCTCAGAATATAACCTGGGGCACTTCAGGACCGAAACCTTTGGCTGGGTACTTGGTACTGAACTCGCCATACAATCAAGTCGTCAACGATGCATGGACGCGAGCATGGAACACCATCAGCACTTTGAAATGGGTCCCCGTCGCTGTGGAAGCCCCGATTAGCACTTTCGAGCCCTTTCCAACCGCGACACCCTCGTCCAGGGTGAAACGTTGGAATTCGTTCCTCAGTCAGATTGACCTTACTATTGCCGACACCCAAGCTGATCTACAACAAGGAGTGGATGAATCATACACCATCGACATAACCCCAGCCTCAGAATCTGTCAATATCACGGCGCAAACAGTATGGGGGGCCCTTCATGCATTCACCACCCTCCAGCAGATCATCATCTCCGATGGCCATGGCGGTCTGATGATCGAGCAACCAGTCTCGGTTGTCGACTATCCAAACTACCCATATCGGGGCGTCATGATTGACAGTGGCCGGAACTTCATTGGAATCCCCAAGATCTACGAGCAGATTGACGGCATGGCGCTCTCAAAGTTGAATGTGCTTCACTGGCATTTGGTGGACGCTCAATCGTGGCCTCTCCAGATGGCGAGCTATCCTCAAATGACCAAAGGGGCCTATTCTTCCCAGTTGATCTACTCACAGGACGACATTCGGTCCATCATTGCTTATGCCCGAGCTCGCGGCGTTCGTGTCATCCCTGAAATTGATATGCCAGGCCACGCATCATCGGGATGGACGGAGGTTGATCCAAGCATTATTGCGTGCGCAAACTCCTGGTGGTCAAACGACGTCTTCGCACTCCATACTGCGGTGGAGCCAAACCCGGGACAGCTCGACATCCTCAACAACAAGACATATGAAGTCATCAAAAATGTCTACACCGAGCTCTCGAGCTTGTTCACCGACAACATCTTCCACGTCGGTGCTGACGAGATCCAAACGGGCTGCTACAACTTCAGCACTCTGGTACAACAATACTTTGCCCAAAACTCCTCGCGCACGCACAATGATCTTCTGCAGATCTGGGTCGACACCGCCGTTCCACTCTTCACTTCGGTATCGAACAAGACGTTGATGATGTGGGAAGATGTTGTGCTCAACGCCTACCCACACGCACACACGGTCCCGAAGAACATCATCATGCAAGCGTGGAACAACGGCCTGGAGAACATCCATAACCTGACTGCTCTAGGCTATGACGTTGTGGTGTCGTCTTCCGACTTTTTCTACCTTGACTGTGGGTTCGGTGGCTGGGTAACCAACGATCCGCGATACAACGAGATGGCCAACCCCAATGCTTCGGTGCCGACCTTCAACTACGGGGGCAATGGAGGCTCCTGGTGCGCGCCGTACAAGACCTGGCAGCGGATATACGACTATGACTTCACGCTGAATCTCACCGACACACAGAAGAGCCACGTTCTAGGCACAGAAGTCCCTCTGTGGTCGGAGCAGGTCGACGACACCGTCATCTCCTCCAAGATGTGGCCGAGGGCAGCCGCCATGGCCGAGCTCTCGTGGTCCGGCAACAGAGACCCTGTCACTGGCATCAAGCGGACGACTCAGATGTCGCAGCGCATCCTGAATTTCCGTGAGTATCTGGTCGCCAACGGTGTCCAAGCAACGCCGCTGGTACCCAAATATTGTCTCCAGCACCCGCACGCCTGTGACTTGTTTTACAATCAAACAGCACTTGCAGACTATGCAACGACGCAGTGATTCGGTTGCTGGCTAGTTTTGCGCTCTTTCTTTCCTGTCCGATGAGACATGCTGCGGTTGTTGAGGGGGGGTGATAATACAATGTCCATAACCATGGTTGGAGGACAAGGCGATGACTGGAGTGAGTGCCACATAAGGAACCCTAGTGGAGGCCTGCATAAGCACTCTTGTCGTATTTTTGCTAGGATCTCCAGCGTATGTAAGTAGGTTCTCGAGGATGCGGGCCTGCGATCACACAATACGAGAAACTATTTTACGTCCTTGCCTCCGAACCAGTAGAACCCAGTAAGTAGCATGTGCCCACAGCGAAAACCCTCGTACTTGTACTTTGTGCGTAAACCGCACCAACCGATTCCGAGATATCGCAAACTCCGAGATCGGCTCAGTTTCTCGGGAGCCATTTTTTCGAGACACGCACGGCCCGACCTCGGCTTCTGTTTTTTCTTCTTCTCCAACGAAACGAAATCTGGCTTTCCCGAGGCGAAAAACGGGACGCCCGCCTCGAAAAAACAGGTGATGATGAATGAGGGGGTTCTCGGTAACGGGAATGTGGGGAGTCTTGCGCGGGCTCGGACTGGGATAAGAAGGGTAACCTACGGTCGTAAGTTTGTGGGTAGTAAGTAAGTAGCAGACCGAGAGAGAGGGTAAGAAAGAAAGAGAGTGTGAGGGTTGATTGATTACCTACAGGACAGGATCTAACATTGTCAATTCTATCTCTAACCTCTTCGAACGAGTACCACACTACACTATCCACGAGTACCGCGAGGATATAGAAATTCACCCTCTCTCTCTACTCCATCAGTACTTGGACCCTGGAGAATATTATATTTGTAACAAAGTGAGTTTGGAGGACTGAAATTTTGCACCCGTCCCGACATATCCTCCCCTCTCCTTTTCTCTCACACCATCACCACCACCACTCTCCTCCCCTCGGCTCGCCATGCCTGCCTCAAACACAGCCGTCAACGGCCATGCCGCACAGAAGCCGGGCGACATCCCCGTCACCAGCATCTTCTCGAGCTTCGTCGCCAATGCGAGCACCAAAGACCTGACCCCGCACATCCGGGACCGGCTCAAGGAGTACATTCTCGACTTTATCGGCGTGACCCTCGCGGCGAGCCAGTCATCCGAGTCGACGCTGCCGTTCTGCGCGGCCGTCAAGGCCCTCGGCGGCCAGGACAACGGCTCCTGCACGGTTCTTGGCAAGGGCAAATCCTTCACGCCCCAGTACGCGGGCCTGCTCAACGCCACGCTGGGCCATTCGTTGGACTTTGACGACACCTACGCCAAGGGCACGCTGCACGCTGGCGTCACGGCCATCGGCGCGGGCTTGACCCAGGCGGAACTATTGGGCGACCAGGCGAGCATGGACCTCTTCCTGCTAGCCGTCGCCGTCGGGTACGAAATCACCTGTCGTCTGGGCAAGGAGCTCGGCAACGACGCCTACTCGCGCGGCTTCCACAACACCGCGACCGCAGGCATCTTCGGCGCTGTTGCGACAATTGCGGTCCTCAAGGGCCTGTCGGCCGAGGTCGTCGAGAATGCATTCGGCCTGGCCGGGTCCAAGGCCGCCGGGTCGATGCAATACCTCGAGAACGGGAGCTGGAACAAACGCCTCCACCCGGGCTTCGCGGTGCACGACGCGTTTGTGAGCGTGGCGCTGGCCGAGGCGGGGGTCATCGGCGCGGCCAAGATCTTCGAGGGCACCTTTGGGTTCCTGCACGCGTACAGCCCCAAGCCGGACAAGGACCTGGTGTACCTGACGGCGGATCTGGGCAAGAGGTGGGAATTCCTCGAGACGTCGCTGAAGCCGTTTCCCGCGTGCCGCATGACGCACGGCTTCATCGAGCACGCGGTGAAGCTGGGCCGCGACAAGGGCTGCTCCAAGGCGCAGGACGTCAAGAGCATCACGCTGTCGCTGAGCCCGGCCAACGTGAGCGTCGTGGGCGCCCCGATCCCCAACAAGATCCACCCGGAGAACATGGTCGACGCGCAGTTCTCGGCCTACTTCACCACGGCCAACAGCTTCCTGTACGGCTCCGACAACGGCGTGCGCTGCTACGAAAAGGACCGCCTCGCCGACCCGCAGATCCGCGAGCTGTCGGACAAGATCACCTGCGTCGGCGACTCCTCCATCAAGGAGTTCGGCTCCAAGCTCAAAGTTGAGTACGCGAACGGCGAGGTCGCAGAGATCGACATCCCCTATCCCCTCGGCGAGCTGCAGCACCCGTTCACCCGCGAGCAGGTCGACGCCAAGTTCTTCAGCCTGGTGAACCCGGTGTCTGGAGAGGAGAAGGCCAAGGCCATCCGCGACGTGGTCAATAGTATCGAGAAGCACACTGTCAAAGAGTTGCTCGCTCTGTGTTGATTGTGGGGAAAATCAGGAAGCGGGAATAGTCCTATGAGTAGTACATATGTCTTATGTCAAGTTATGCAGTTTGGGCCATGCATACCCTTTGTATCCAGCCTTGTTGGATGATTTCATTTTATCATTGGTTTCACCACTTTACAAAGTCAGCATGATGGGGGTCCGAGGAACAGCATATTCGGGTAGAGATAGGGTGCTTCTCCTTAAATAAAGAGTTGTATGCCAACTGAACACGCCATCCAGCGACCTGGACATACGGCGAGGAGCCAGAGGAGTGAGATCAAGCAAGGTGCAAATTCCGTGATAGATCGACATCTGTTCACCTTCTGCAGGTTGATGATCGAGGCTCATAAATTGCGATGAGGTCGAAGATATACGAGGTACATGTAGCTACGTCTGACTAGACGCAACATCGCTACATCTTATTGGCTGTCCAGACGGATTCATGGACCCGGTGCATATCTCCCCGTCAATCAACGTCGACGAAACATCCCTCTCAACCATGGAAATATTCAGCTAGAGCAACAGTCCATGATACATGTACAAACGACTCCCTGTCATTGTTCCTCGCGGGAGCGCCGCCCTCATCACATCATCATCTCATTTCCAGCCCTCCCTCCACCCCGCCACCCTCTCCATTTCCCCGTCTCCCAGACACAAGTCCTCGTCCACAGACAGGGGGGAAAAGGACCAGAAGATGCCAGAGAAGGGCTACGTCTCGCAACGGGCACTATCCAACCTGGTCCCGCCCACACCAAACCTCCACGCCGTCCGCTCGCACTGCTTCCACAACCAGTACGACCCCGAAACCAACCCGGACGGCATCGTCGCGCTGGCCATCGCCGAGAACAAGCTGATGCGCGACGAGATCTGTGCGCACATCAACGCCCACACGGCCATCACGCCGTGGCACTTGACCTACGGGCAGGGGCCGACGGGGTCGCTCGAGCTGCGCAGGGCGCTGGCGGCGTTCGTGCGCGACGTGTTTCGGCCTAGTATGGGTATCGACGAGAAGAACGTCTGTGTCTGTCTCGGCGCGGGCAACGCCGTGGATAATCTGGCTTTCTGTCTCGGGGAGCCTGGCGACGGCATCCTCGTGGGCAGGCCGCTCTATGTGGGATTTTTCCCGGATATTGAAGCCAGGGCAAAGTACGTTTTCCATCCCCCTGCTATCTCGCATTCTTCTTCATATCTAGCCAGTACTTCCTGGTTTGCCCGTCTGCCTTTGTCATGAATCCCTTTCGATTTGGAGCAAACACGCCGTGACGATGGAAGGATCTTGCCCGTTCGGTCAGAAGCTGACCATGGGCACGAGCTTGAGGACCACCTCAGAGTCAAGCCCGTCCTTGTCCCCTTTGGCCCTGATACGGATCCCACCTCTGCCGCGGCGGTCCCTTTCTACGAAGCTGCTCTACACCGATCCAACGCTGCCGGCGTACCCATCAGGGCCATCCTCCTGTCCAACCCGCACAACCCGCTGGGGAGACCGTACGAGAACGACTTCCTCACGGGTATCATGCAGCTCTGCGCAAAGCACAACATCCACCTGATCTCGGACGAGGTCTACGCACGCTCCAACTTCCCCAGCACCGACATCCCCAACCCGGCGCCCTTTGTGTCGGTGCTCTCGTTCAACCTGGCCGAGTACATCGACCCGTCGCTGGTGCACGTCATCTACGGCATGAGCAAGGACTTTTGCGCCAACGGGATCCGCGTGGGCGCGCTGATCTCGCCCGCCGCCAACGGCACCGTGATGCGGTGTTTCCGCGCCGTGGCGAGTTTCAGCCGCGCCTCCCAGCTCGCCGAGCACGCCTGGCTGAATCTCCTTAACGACCTGCCATTTCTGGACACGTACTTCCCGCTGCTCCAGCAGAGGATGACGGACGCTTACGAGTTCACCACCTCGTTTCTGAAACGGCACGATATCCCGTATACCAAGGCGAGCGTGACGAGTTTCATCTGGGTCGACCTGAGTCGCTATCTCAGAGAGGACAGCGTCGAGGCCGAGCTGGAGCTGAATTGGAAAATGGCCCACGGCGGCGTGTGGTTGGCCATGGGGGCGAGTTTCGCCAGTGAGAAGAACGGCAATTTTAGGATAACGTTTGCGACACCGAGAGAGGAACTGAGCATGGGGTTGGAAAGGTATGATATTGCGATTGTTGCCTCGACGTGGTGCTGACGGTTTGTCTTGATAGGTTAATCAAGGTATTGAAGGATGTTGAAAAGAACTTGAAAAGATAACTCAGTCACTTTTCGGATGACGTAGAGTCACTCGATTGAAGAGGGAAAGCTAGACTCCGATGCCAGAGATATTAAAAAGCATATTAGACTCTCTCATACAAATCCTCGTCAACAAATGGTGCAGTGTGCAGGACGATGGGTTTGCAAGAAGGTATGTCATGAAAGAGCACGCTCGAGTCTCCAGATCCAATGACCAGGAGATATGTCGAGAAAAAAAGCTGCATAATGAATGTTAGCAGAGCTGGACACGAGTACAACATGATAATGTGGTCTAGAGGAGGATGCTCCAGGGTCCTTCTGTGTTGACCGGGCCTCATGCGTTTGATAGAGGTCGCCAATGACATGGACCATGGCCCTGAAGAAACCACTGTACAGTCTTGAGCTGATCCATGTCGAGCTCTGTCAATGCCATGCCTTGCCTTGTCGTGGACGCTTGCGCTGATACCTTAGCGAGCTGCGTCGAGGATAGCGGCACTGATGTGAGGATCTGTAGTTCGGAAGATACAAGAAACAGCAGGTGTCCAGATAAGCAAGATGCACATTTGCTGCAGTCGTAGCATCCTTACATCTTTCGGGAGTGGAAGCAGTGCAGCTGCTCCTAGTCCTTGGTGAGAAGTGGCAGGGGAAATGAATGAAGCTGACATGTGGCCATTCGTTGCTGTTCTTGCTGGTGCAGTTGTTGCCGCTGTTGCTGCTTTAAGCGGATCAAGGATTTTGCGGGCATCAGAGTTTTCCAAGCTTCATCGACAACTTCAACTTCAACGACTTGTACCTTTTATGTCTCCTAATGTTCATAACCAGGCAAGATATATGTACTGACATGTGGCTGGCTACTGGCAGATAACCTGTCGCGCTGGTTTTTACGCAACCTCCCCTGTCTCACCAACCATATCAGTGCTTCCCGCTAGGTACCTTAGCATGCTACACATGCCTGGACGGAACCTTTAGGCACCGCGCCGTCCCGCTTCATGCCTGCTGCTTCTGTGGACCACTTCTACCTAAGGACAGGTGGGTGACATGCGAGAACCATTTGCTGACTGGCGCTGCTGATCGTCTCGCTCACAGACCTGGCGTTGACCGTGCAGTCCACTACCAGCGAGGCAGTGTCCCAACGTGCATGCCCCAGAATCCTTGGTGGATTGTCACCTGGCACGGGGATGGTTTTTGCATCTTATCATCGATTTTGGCTCAAAAATGGGCTACCCACTCTGTACGAGTCATTCTGCAAAAGGCGACCTGCAGGGCACGCTCCGCTCGCTTGATTCCAAGATTCTTTTCGCCCAGGCGCTTGGGCGAGACAAGGCCCACAAGCCTCGACGGGGTTTTCTTGCCTCGAAATGTCGCCGGAGATTGTTGTGGTCCCTCCCGACACTTCTTCAGTAGCCAGCATTTGCCAGCCGCCGTCAGGATTCGTCAAGAACCTCTCTCGTGCTACACCACTGCCGTCTTCTGTGGTCCGAGGTAAAAGATGGCTGTGGCAACTTTGCGTGTCTTCTCAATTGGTCTGAATCACCGGGAACCGAGTCCCGCACTCTTCTGGCGGTCTCGCATCTCCAACATCGCTGCTGGACGATGGAGAGATTATTCAGGGCGGGAAGGCTAACTTCGTTCCCCGAGGCCTAAGGTGCTCCCCAGCCCCAGAACCCCGCAGGAAAAAGAAGGGTGGCCCTTCAGGGACTCGCGAAGACCGACTCCAGATATTACTCACTCACCACCAGCCATGGCCGTTGCTGGCCACCGCGAACCACATTAACCCCGTGTCCTCCTCTGGACCGATCACTCGGATTGTCTCTCCTCTCCCTAAACCGTTCTTCTTCAGGACTGTTTCGTCTTCCATCGAGTGATACCTGCTTGGCTCTTCCTAGCCAGCCGCGTCGACCATCATGGGGGCTACAAAGAGACACGCCTCGTCTCACTCGAGTCTGTACAACAGACTAGTAACCGTGGCCGTTGCTTTCGGTTCTATGGTAAGTCGCTGTCACAAGGCTTCCATCAGCCCTTCTGTATTACTCCTAGGAGAAAGAGACTGACTCTATCAGACATATGGCTACTGTTCGGCCATCATCGGGAGCACCATTGGCCAGCCAGGATGGTATCAATTCTTCGACCTCCCCATGCAAGGGGAGCCAGGTTACGGCGGAAAGACCACAGATGCAATTGCGACGGCGAACGGTTTATACAGTGCAGGCGGAGCAGTCGGATCTCTCTTCATTGCTTGGTCAGCTACTGCCATTGGCCGCAAACGAAGTATTCAACTCGGAGCTCTCTTGGCCATCATCGGAGGCGCGTTTCAAGGTGGTGCCGCGGCGCTGGCGTAAGTTGCTGATGCTCCGTATCCGCTATCTGCCCTCTACAACAACGCTGACATCTGTAACAGCATGTTCCACGTTGGACGGGTCATATCTGGACTGGGCATTGGGATCCTTGTAACTGCTTGTCCCATGTACTTGTCTGAGTTGGCACCGCCTGAGAATCGTGGCTGGCTCGTTGGCCATCATGCAATCTTTTTGGTGTTTGGATACATGCTCTCCGGATGGCTTGGATACGCGTGTTATTTTGCCACGGACAAGAACCCGTCCTTCGCGTGGAGGTTTCCCTTGTGCGTCCAGACTCTGCCACCGTTGGTGTTGGGAGTCACGTCAATCTGGATCCCCAAGTCGCCGAGATGGCTCCTCCAGAAGGGCAGGATCGAGGAGGCCTGGACCGTCATCCAGGCTCTGCGCCGATCGCCGGACGACCCAGACGACCTTGTCGCGAAGGAGGAACTGTACCAGACCAAAGAACAGATCGCCCTGGACGCCGCGAAACTCAGGGCGGTGGGATACGGTCCGTGGATGGCTTGCATCAAGAAGAAGAGCTATCGCAAGAGAATGATTATCGGCTTCTTGACGCAGTGGGGAGCCGAGTTTGCCGGTGTGCTGGTCATTGTACGTCCCTCTGAAGTCACTCATCTGTTTGCGATCAGGTTGCTGACACGGGTCCTAGAACAACTACATGGTCATTCTGTACACGAACCTCGGGCAGACGGGATCCATGCCTCTGCTCCTCTCGGCGGTCTGGCTCACCACAGCCGGTAAGCATTGCTGCGTCAATAGCCTTCCTTGTGTGACTTGCACTGACTCTGATGTAACAGGTGTCATCTACAACCCCCTGGGCGCGTGGCTCCACGACAAGGTCAACTCGCGACGGTTCATGTACCTGTTCGGCACGGCGGGATGCCTGGTGACGACATCGATCCTGTGCGCTTTGCTTGCGACGTACGCGGGCACCACGGACAAGGGCGGCAACGCGGGCGGGGTGTTCATCGTGTTCCTTTACCTAACCTTCCAGGGCACCTTCTGCGACACGACCATGTACCTGTACGTGAGCGAGATCTTCCCGACCGAGATCCGGCCGATCGGGATGGGCTTTTCGCTGTTTGGGCAGTTCGCGGCGACGCTGATCCTGCTGCAGACGGCGCCCATCGGCTTCGTCACCATCGGCTGGAAGTACTACCTGGTGATTGTGTGCTGGACCGTCGTCTACCTGCCCATGATCTACTTCTTCTGGCCCGAGACGGCGCGCCTCTCGCTCGAGGAGATTTCCAAGCAGTTTGGCGACGACGTCGCCGTCCACGTCAACGACATCAGCGACGAGCAGCGCCGCGAGCTCGACGACTTCCTCAAGTCAAAGGACATTGTCCACTCGCCGTCCACCGTGGTCGGTGGTGCCGACGACTCGACCTCCCCCCCCACCACGGAGATTCAGGAAGAGGCCTCGGAAAAGGTCTGAAGATTGAACAGTCAACCAACCCATCAACCCTACTTTATGTACCTGGCTATGACCATGTATGTACCGTAGGTAATCGCCCCTTAGCATACCAAGGTGTTTATCCCATGCATGTGTGTATACGCAGCGTCACGCACGTGGAGCCGGTACACAAACGGACTACGAGACATGGAGAGTTGCGAATAATTGAATCTAGTTTTTACATTTTGTAAATAAAGTATATAACGACGACACCCTCGAAAAAACGAAGAAGGGAGTTGACCTGCAAGCCGCGGCGCTAGAAACAAGTAGGAGAAGGAGGAGAAGGAGAAGGAGGAGGAGGTGGAGAAGTACAAGAAAAAGTAGAAGTCGTCCGGGGGAGAGAGAAAATAATTCTTATAAATGCGAATGCGAATTCATGAATATCTTGGTCGATCGATTGATGTGGATTGATCGATGAACAACTACGACTTTCCTGTGTGCCAGGTATCGCACCCAGTTCCACTTCGACTTGCGTGGTGTATGTATACATCTCTCGAGCCTGCATCCTCTTTCGAAGTGACATATCAGTGCCCTTTACATACCGTGTACACACACACACACACACACACACACACACACACACACACACACACACACACACACTCAACACATATACACTAGCGGAAAGGAGTGTTTCTTGTCTTGGGAATCTTCTGCATTGCTCGCTCAAGTACATGATCGTAGAAACGTCTAGCTCGTGATAATGGACTGAAACAACACCTACTTCTTCCCGACGCAAGAACCCGGGCATGATCGGCTCGCGCCGTCATCTCTATGCCATTCAGCCTCCACAAAGAACCGGCTGCTCAGAAGATGGCTATGCAATTTGGCGGACTGCTGACGCCTCCAGGCATGTTGAATGGGGCGCTCGCGACGAAAAACTCCCAACGGTGCTCCCTGATGCACATCGCACTCAATGCCTCGAGATCAAAGAGCTCGCCAATCGGCATGCCCCATCCCGCCAGCAGGTATTCGTGCATAAAGACTCCTTCCACCTCAGGCTCTCCTTCACCGCGTGGATAACTCTTCTTAGCAGGGTAGACTTCAAATGATATCGCGTCACCCGCCACTGCAGAGAAGCCTGTGTCCCACAACCAGCGCAGCATTTCCTCGGTGCCTTCGACGCCAGCGTGTTGAGGTGTCTTGGTCGTTGCATAGGCATTCTTGTCCTGCGATGTCATGCGCGTGTCCCATTCTTTAGTCACACCCATGCGCACGAAAAGGATGTCACCACGTTTGAACGTCACATTCTCCTCTTGAGCGATCTCGAGTAGTACGCTGAGGGGGACTGAGTGGTCGCTGAACGTCGAGTAGTCAATGCCTCTCTTTTCGGCGTATGAGACATAGTCCAACAGCACCCCTCGTCCGCAGATACCCTCCTTCGCCCAATACTGCAGCCCAATCCGGTGATTCGTTACATCCATGATTTCCTGACTAGTCACACCACCGTAAAACACCCTCCTCTCTGGCTCAGACTCGATCGGATCTGGTTGGGAGAAATGCCTGAGCCCGTCCCATTGACTACTCTGCTGTGGATTGAACGTGTAGACGTCGTCAAAAGCAGCGCCGCCGAGAATGCCGACAATCTCGTGCCTGCAGGGTACTCGGCCAAAGTTGGCGATTTCCAGCTTGTTCAACTCCCACCCAAGATTCACACGCCGTCCGCTTCGAATGCTTGTCGCTGCAGCAGAGGCGACGACATCTGGTGTGAGGAGCACAAGGCGACCCAGCCCCTCCTCTCTCGTGTTAGGCTCGCCTGGCCATACTTGCTTCTTGTTCGGCAGAGCATCGTATGGCGTCAAGTGGAGGGGGTGTACCTGAGGGTCCTCGTCGTGAGCGACATTTTGAAGTGAGCCCATGGTGAGATGTAGTCGAGGCCGACAAGGATCTTCTCCTCACGTCTAGTTAGATCTAGTCTGCTGGGACAGAGATGAGCCCTGATCGATATCGATTCTGAACGCTGAGGCACAGAACAGAGATCCAGGAACGCGGGGTCTTCGAAATTGAACCGGTAGATTGGATCGTTTCCACCACTTGCACCCAAGTTGGGGGATAAAGTTCCACGGTGAATTTCTCCGAATTGACTCAGTCGAATCACAACGCACAACCGTGGTTTGTGGTGGCATGCCCCATTGTTCGTCGAGCGCCCACCTGTTCAAAATGATAGTTTTCGCTTCATCTCCACTCTTCGGTTTACTTTCGGAGTTCGGATGTCCCGCAAGATCATTGTGGCCATCGTTGTGGCAAGCGGCACACTGAGCCCATCCTTCCTAAGACCATTCATTATTGCCTTGGGTAAGTGAAGAAAGTCGTTGTTCCATTCAGTGTGTTGCAAGCTTCCGGTGTAAAGTCCGTGATGACCCCGCCCCCAGATCCGCGTTGGGTGTGTACCACTCCGTCACGAACACTTGGTGACTGGTGGGACTCGGAGTCCAGACTGGCGGTACGCTTCAACACGGTCTGAATGTCCACTTTGCAGACACTCAATTGTGGATGTCGAATAATGGTCACGGTTCACCATCTGCTCGTTCGAAGGAACTGTCTAATCGCAATCAAAGTCAAAACTCTCAAGGATCCGGCTGAACTTGTTGGAGAGCTTCCAGAAGCGCATTTTCCGTAGCATGGCTTGAGCTTCGTGGCTGATCGCTTCGAGACTGCCACTCATGTAGATGTTCTCGACAGCACCAATGCTTGCGGGCCCTCCGTTTTCGATCCAGGTCGCAATTGCGGTCCGTTGGCCATCAATCCGATTTGGCAAATCGAGTCGAACAGGGCATGAGGCGTAACCAGGGTCCGAGCAGGGCTGAGGTCCGAATTTGGCAAAGGCAAGGATGAAGATGTAGCCCATGAACGTCCGCATAATCTCACAAGGCGCAGAGACTAGGTATTCGTTTGCCACGGCGATGATCTGAGCTGCATGCCACGCTAGATTACGAGCTTTTGTGGGATTCTTCACAAGTATCGAGCGTAGGCGTCGCTTAGCCGACACAAGGCTCTGATCGAGTTGTTTCGACTGCGAGGCGGAAGAGCGGAAGATATGAACAATAAGGTCCATAGCCTCGTCCGCGCTATATAAGTGAGAGTAATGACAGATAAGCGCGGTAAGACTGCAACAATCTGGTTAAACACAGCTTCACATTCTCGAGAACCAGCAGAACTTACTTGTAGTGGATGAGATCGGCGGTAGAAGTCAGAGAATACATGGATTCACAAAGTGCATTGAGTCCTTGCAGTAGAGTGCTTTTGGTCTGTCTCTGAGCCGCAGCTAGAGAAGGGAGTTTCAGGTACTCGGTGGTCGCCATGATATCCAATTGCTTGATGTCCCAAAGAAGTCGGCCAATGCTCTGTGCGCACAGCCTCTTTCCCCACGCTGGTAGATCCTCAGGGATACCTTTTCCAGCCAGAAGATTTCGAAGTATTTTCGCGGTCGAGGCTCCTCGGGCGGTCGGCGTAAGGCGTGAGTAAAGAGCTGCCCAGGCTTGAGGGGATCTCGCATCCCACAAAGGCTCAGTGCAGGGCAGAAAAGACGGCAGTTCCTGTAAGTCAGCAGCACCTCGTCGCGCGGTTAAGGTGCACAAAGTGCAGTCGTACTCGAAAGAAGACCAAGCAATGCGCTTTTCTTGCTCCTGGTCTTTCCATCTCAGCCACTCGGTTGCTGCATTCTCGTTGGGCAGGGGGCTTTTGAAATCTTCCCACTCAACCTCGGTGCTGATACGGGACTTTAACAGACCCATCCCGCGGAGGCAACCCATCAGTATGCCCCTCGAGCAATCTGCGTTTGCGTAAAGCCTCATATTCCCAGAGCCAAGAGAATAGATCTGGTGAAGGCAGCAAGCAATGAGATATGGCGCATTGTAAAAGCGAGTGCTATCTCCCACGCCCTGATCCAATAAATTAGTCACTCACATCTGCATCGCTTCAAGGTCCAAAACTTACCAGCCATGCAATCATTTGGCCGCACATTTCACTCAGAGACCATGACTGTTCTGTCCCCTGTTGATCGTCCGAGTACATGGCTCCAATACAAGCCATGGCGGCCAGTGTGACGGTAGGGACTTTGGTCATCTGAAAGGTGGCAACGTGTACAAGAGGCAAAATGTTGTGGAATTCTGCAAAGTACAAATCTAAGGAATTTTTCAGCAGCTCCATTGCAGATTTCATACTCGGGTCGTGAGAGAGATCTTGCTCTGGTAAGTATGGCGACGAGAGCAGCTGAATCAGACTTCTGATAGTGGTCCCATTGTTAGTTTCACTTGAGGCAACAGTGCCTTGTAAAATGTCTCGTAAAGGAGGGAGTCTGTATCGCTGAGATTCAGGGTTCCGTGTGTGGTCAAAGGGCCATTGCTGAGAGGTGGCTCGCGACTCGGACGACTTGGTCGAAAGGTTTTTGGATTCTTGGTGTCGAATTGGCATTAGTTGTGCAGATATGGCTTGGTGGCTTCTGTTTTGCAGCGGCTCTTGCAGGTCAAGCGGGATCGATGGTTGAAAATACATCGGTTGCCCAAAAGCTCCACTCTGATAGTGAGCTTGAAGTTCGCCAGTACCGGGCGAGTCAAGGTCGAGATTGAGCCAGTCCACACCACCGCCAATCCTCGGGGCAGGATCGTAAGACATGAAGTTAAAGTCACCTGGCAGAAAGCCCTCGAATCCCATCATGGAATGGTTGAACTCGGCTCCGCCATCTGGGCTGGTATTCGGAAAAGACACGAGGTCCGGGGAGATCATATCCATCGGATTGCCCTCTGGGGTTGGGTGGAAAAACGATGTGCTGCCGTTGAAAACTCGATCATTGCTTGGTCTCTGAGCAGTATTACTGACCAGATCCGAAGTTCCATTGACAATCCCTAGACGGGTTTCTGCCTCGTCCCGATAGTCCTGTGTACCGGGGAACGAGGCATCCTGACATGCTTGCTGCTCTGGGAGTTGGGTGGATGGAGTTGGTGACTCAATTTTGCCCTCTGTAATCCCACGTTCCATATTTTCGTCGTCTGTCGGATGTTTGCAGAATGATCCTGATTTTTTGCAAGGTAGACAGGGCTGCGAACGGTCACACTTCAACTTCTTCTTGACACAGCGAAAACATGACTTTTGCGCAGACCGCTTCCGAGATATGGTTGCTTGATGGGCAGTACGAAGATGTCGGAGCAGGACGTCGTTCCGTGAAAATTGGCGGCCACACTGGTCGCAAGTGAAGTGTTCCCGCTGGGAAGGATGGAGATGCGATTGTACATGACGTGCGAGGTGACTCGGGCGGGCGACGACGAGGTCACAATTGGGGCAGCGGAGCGTTCGTGAAGCCTTGGGAGCGGACTATTCGGAGCCTCAGTCAGTAGATGCCGTATCTTTCTGGGGAATTTAGGTATATCGAACCATTGTATCCAGGGAAATCTTGGTCAGAAGTTAATATCTCGCAAACCCGATTGAGCATCGAGGGTCGTTGACCGCAGTTACCCCGAGGAAGGTGGGATTTCTGTCGGGCGGATGGCCATATCCCTTGCAGTCTCATGTAGAAGGAAGATAGATAGATTTGGGGTTTATTGACTGGTACAATATCGCTCCTGTGGTGAAATAGTGGAATAGGTGAATAGTTGAGGCGCCCAACGTTAGAGGGGGATGGTGTAGGATGTCGAAGGGGAGATGCCCAGGGCGAGCGGAGAGTGTTCGATGACGGGGGTTCAACGTAGAAAATCACCATCGCCAGCAAAAGAAACCCCCCAAAATCTGGGGAACGCGCACTCGGGAACGAGTAACCCGGACCTGGGCCCTGTCATCACTAGGCGGCCAATGGTACCAACGGCGCCGGGGAACAAGCCTAGCTAGGTAGTCTGGCCATAGTGGAGGCCTTGGGCTGTTTGCTAGCTTTGACCTAGCACTGCCTAGGCACTAGCCTTAAGCCGCCCAGTTTGAGAGTCTGGCTCCCTCCATCTCGTTGTCGCAGCTTGTGTCGATCGTAACTATTTCATCTGCCACCTTGGTGGTGTCCTATTGATGCAGACCCTGAGTTCAGAATTCGGCAATGCAAACCTCAGCACTAGATAGCTGCCCCCCAATGGAGGCTGTCAAAGGTCCTTGCACACACTGTCGTCGCGCATCACCTCGAGCAGTCCGTCAGGCACAGAGCGATGCGGAGTGTTAGGAGACACCAACACCATGACTAGGCACTGTGCGAGTCCAGAGTAACGTTATTGTGTCCTCCTCGGTGCTTTGATATTCAGTTCTTCATGTCTCACACAATCACACGGCCTCTCTCAAAGGTTAGCCTTGCAAGTCACTACTTCCGTCTGTTCCGGCCTAAAGAAAAAATGCATCCTCCGGTAAGTTATATGGGTCAGTTGGATGTCTTGCGTTTGGACGCTCGGGTTTCTGTCCCTCTACTTCTCTGGGTTTGGGGAATATCAATGTGTGTTGCTCTCTGTCAAAATCACTAACGCTAACCACAGGAAGCCACGGAGGCTACTTCTTCAGGCTGGAGAGAGCATGCGAAGGCACACCGACCAATCCCCGGACCCCTGTTCATTCGGATTACCCTGGTGCGAATGGTCATTCGCTAGCCTCCGTTCACGGCGTCTGGTCCGAGGATAGCAAAGATGCGGGGGAAGAGTCACCACCGAGTTGGAGAAGATTTCGAGATAATAGTATCGGATTTCCTCCGAAGCCTGTTACCAGCGGTCAACCTTCGTTCTTGAGTTACATTACGGGAGCTGTTACATGTGAAGCGTGCTTCAAGGATAGAAAAGAATGTCAAGCTCAACCAAATCCGTCTCGGCGGCTGCCGTGCAGTCACATACCACACGCGACAACTGCTGGATTGTTGTAGAGGGAAAGGTGTACGACATGACAAGATTCGCACCAGAGCACCCAGGAGGAGCGGAAAGTAAGGTCACTTGCACCCAGAAAGGATACCTAAAACTCATCAGGAGTCACAGTAATCTACGCATATGCTGGTAGAGACGCCACCGAGGCGTACTCGGAGGTCCACGACCCGAATCTCATCAAGACCAATCTCTTGCCTCGAGAGCAGATTGGAGATCTTGACCCAACCACAAAGCTCCCAGATGTGCCGCCTGGTCAAGATTCGAGGGCTGGTCGGAAGCAAGAAGACAAACCATCGCTCGACACTTTCATCAACCTGTACGACTTTGAAGATGCTGCGAAGAAGTCACTCTCGGAGAAGAGCTGGACCTTCATCTCGGGCGCCTCAAACGACAACATCACGCGTGACGTGAACCACGACCTCTTCAGAAAGATATGGTTCCGGCCTCGGATATTGAGAAATGTCTCGACTGTATCTACGAAAGCGACGATGATGGGATGCCAAGTATCACTTCCTATATGGATTGCACGTAAGCTTGATCAACTCCACTGGTGCCCTCTTCTACGGTAAGGTCCCATGCTAACAGTAACCCAGCGGCTGGTGTTGGCAAGACGGCTGGACCAGAGGGTGAACTGGCGCTTAGCAGAGGCGCTGCAGCCACTGGCATTATACAGACGGTTGGTTCATTTGTCGCTGGTGACTGCCACCCTGTATTGACATCAATCAGATATCAACGACGGCCTCATTCCCGTTGCTCGAGATTCTTGACGCAGCGGGCAAGGATCATCCGTTCTTCTTCCAACTATACATCAACAAAGACCGGTCAAAGACTGAAGAGCTCCTCAGGGTCATCAACAGCCGCCCACAGATCAAAGCTTTGTTTGTCACCGTCGACCTCCCTGTTGTCTCGAAGAGAGAAGCAGACGAACGAATAAAACTCGACACGTTATATTCCAGCGGCGTCGGAGGCTCCGCAGCTGGTAGCGACCACAAGGGTTCGGGGCTTGCGAGAAGTGTGGGGTCTTTCATAGACCCGGCATTCTGCTGGGAAGACCTGGCCTGGCTGCGACGACAGACCAAACTGCCAATTGTCCTGAAAGGTATCCAGTCAGCGGCCGATGCCAGGCTCGCCATGCACATGGGCTGCCAGGGGATCGTGGTGAGCAATCACGGAGGCAGGGCGCTGGACGGGGCCCCGGCCTCCATTCTCGTGCTTCTAGAGCTACACAGGGAATGTGCAGAGGTCTTTGACCACATGGAGATTTTCATCGACGGGGGGTTCAGAAGAGGATCCGACATTCTCAAAGCCCTCTGTCTCGGAGCCAGTGGTGTCGGCCTGGGCAGACCCTTCATGTATGCCATCAACTACGGCAAAGAAGGCGTCGTGCACGCTATCAACAGTACGTTATCTCCCCCGATCCTGTTTTCTCCCTGCCTTTTCTTCTCCTGCTTGGCTAACCACGCCTATTATGATACAGTTATCAAAGACGAGATCGAGACAGCCATGCGCTTAGCCGGCCTGAAATCTCTAGACGAGGCGGACCCAGCGCTGATCAACACGGCCGAGGTGGATCCCCTTGTCCCTCGCGGTTCCCTCCATCCTTATGCGCGGAGACGTGAAGGCCAAAGAAGACAATACCGTCTCTAATGTCCCGGGAGGGAACTATCAGGAAAAGCATTAAGAGGTACAACTTTGATGCCAGACACCCCAGGTTTTCATTAAATATGATCAGTAGCGTCTTGTGAATGTAGACAGTATTATTACCTGTTTTGACAAGAGCAGCAAAATCCCCTTTTCACACCGTACGCTGTAACCGCTCACGTAAATGATATACTATCTCAGACTACCTTTTATATCAGAGCAGGCCTATTCCAATGTGGTTGTGGTGGTGCTCGTAAAACTCTCGCCCGTGAGCGACAGCACAAACCTATAGAGCCGGTCATCCACGCACGAGAATATGTCTTCTCTCAGCGCAGAGGTCGCGTCCCGTCGAGCGAGCATCTCCAATTGGCGTAGAAGGAACACCAGGGCCGGACAGCTCATCTCGATCTTTGCAAATATGCGTGCTGGGCTTTCGACCATGGAGAGTCTGCACTCTTCAAGCGGTACCCTCAGTCCTGATGTATCTTCCTGTACCTTGGGCCGCATGCCCTCCTTCTTGTCGTCATCGACGTCGTCGTCAGATTGTGTCTCCATGATGGTAAACACGGCGGGAAGGTATGTGAACGGAGTCGCTGAGGGCTCAAAGATGATGTGGTTTGGGAACCCAGACCGGACGAGACAGCAGATGAGTTCGTCCCTCGCAGGTCGGCGGAGATGGACTGTCTGGTCGCAGAGATAGCACGTCCAGCACTCCGCATCAGAGGAGGACTGATGACCCCCTGACACGCCTGAGATCTGGTCAAACGTCGGACGCCGCACACACGGGTTGAGCAGCTCGGGGTCCCGAGACGGGCGGTAGCTCGGCCAGCTGGATGGATTCCAATGGACGGACGAGTCACTCGCGACTTCTGCCTCGAGATCTTCCAGCGTCAGCTCCAGAGCCACCATGAGGAGAAACGCCAGCTCGGGAGAGCCGTCCGTGTTGAAATGCGACCAAGCCCTATAAAACAGCTCGGAGCGCGACAGGTTGTAATCGACGGGGAACCGTGTGCCGTGGCGGGTCAATGAGAGCAATCCAAAGACCCGGTCGCGCGAATCTTCACAGCGCGAAGTGCCGTATTCGCGGAGGAGATCATGGAGTCGGAACGCATAGTGCGCCGGGCCATGAGACACATGGCGGCTCATGAAGAAGGGAAACGCCGGGGTGGCGCGGATGGCTTGGTCGACCATGCAGCCACTCCCCCCGTCCGATGAACTATCCAGGAACCACGAGGAGTCGGCGTACCCGAGCACAATCTCCGAGACAGTGTCCCAGGGGATCTCGACGTGGCCGTACACGATCGAAATTTCTCGAGCTAGGAGCACTTCCTGCGCGATCCACAGGCGATTCCAGTAGTCGTGCGTGCACAGCTTGTAGAGACCCGGCCAGAATTTGTCGTGGGCGTCCGTGACGCGTTGTGGTCGTGGGTATTCCTCGTTCAAAATGGCGCGGACCGTGTAGTCGAGAGCCGGATCACCTTGGCCGAGCCAGATCAAGACCTTTTCGGCACAGGCATAGAC